CCAGGACCCAGCGGGGGAGTGAGGGAGGGGCAGCCCTGTGGAGGGGACTCAGGGGGGTTCCTCAGTGTCCCCTGCACGGGGCTGTTCTGTTTGCAGCCTAGGCTACAGGGACACCCTGGTACTTCCTGAGCTCCCATAGCGGGGGCGTTCCAGGGAAAATTGTAGGACAGGTGTCCAATGAGGGACCCCATCACCATTACAATGATGTCAGGGACCATTTCGACCGGATTTGTGTCTGGGTCTGTGAGTCCTTCCACTCATGCCGTCTGTCTCCAACTCCCTCACAGGCCCAGGAAACACCAGGTCAGCCCTGTCCTGGGACACTGAATCCACTGCTGTCCCAGCCCCTGTGGAGCCACCTGAGCTGGGAGGTACAGCCTGAGGACCTGAGGTCTGGGGACCGGGGCCAGAGCTGCCCCTGGCTTCATCCTCAGTCCCATTTGCGCTGCAGGAGAGCGTGACACAGAGGGGGTTGGAGTTTTTGTCTCACTTCCCCGTCTGCCTTTGTCACTGTGAGCATTATAATTGCTGCTCCATGTCTGACAGTAATAGTCAGCCTCGTCCTCAGGCTGGAGGTTGGAGATGGTTAAGTAGCGGTCCGCCCCAGAGCTGGAGCCCGAGGCGGTCGGGGATCCCGTCACCCCTCTCATGGCTTCCGTCGCTCTTCAAATACATCAAATAGCGAGGGGCCTTCCCTGGCTGCTGCTGATGCCATGCAATGGTATAACCGCTGTGCTCACTGCTCAGGGTGCAGGTGAGCTTGGCCGAGGCTCCCAGGGAGGCAGAAGCAGACGGGGGCTGGGTCAGCATAGGATCAGCACAGAGACCTGCAAACACAAAACACGGGGATGATGCCGATGCGCCCAGACAGGATGGATGCCACTCAGGACTGTACTTGGAAGGAAACACCAGGGAGCGGGAGCCCTAGTGCCCAGGGATGGTCTGACCTGTGGAGAAAACCAGGGGCAGGAGGTAGAAGGGAGCCCAGTCCATGGCGGCAGTGGCTTCCAGGAGCTCTGCCCTGAGGCTGCCCAGCTGGCACTGGCCTCTCCAAGCTCCTGTCTTATCCTCTCTTCTTGCAGCTCAAGGGGGAGGAGCAGGAATGCAAATCTGTTTCTGTTCCTCAATTTGTCTGTCCCAGCTCTGGTCTGAGCCCTGGGCCTAAGACCCCCTGCTGGTGAATCCCTGAGGTCAGAAGATGGCCCAGCTGTGGGTTTCAGAGTGGAGAGTTGATTTTACCCAACGCAAGTGTCTTCAAAGGATGCACAGTACACACACATTTTGCCCTGAGCACAGCCCTGGGGAAATGAGGTCCATCAGTCCTTAATGCAAGTTCCACAGCGCCCCCTGCTGTCTTCAGGGTGAGCTTCATCCTGCAATGTTCAGCTTTTTAAACAGAGTGACTGTTCATGACTTTTGAGCCCTCAAGGAAAGCTGACCCTTTCTGAAAGTATTACCCGCATCCCAACCAGACATCAGCCCCCGCCCCTCCTCCTGTCTGATGAGCAGCGAACCCTCACTGCGAGGTTATTCATTTTCCCAGAGCCCCCCTGACAGTTGTGATGAGTCAAGGCTCCAATGCAGCCCAACCTCAGGGCCTGGTGTTTGAATCCCCTCCCAGCCAGGCCTCTCTCCCTGTGCCCTTCCCCTGTCCCAGGTCCCAGGCCTGCCCAGTCCCTGAGTCACAGCCCTCCTCCTCTGGACAGGTGTTGGAGCAATGAGATCGTCACCGCGGTGCACTGTGCACATCTCTGAAAATTACAGGCTGTCTGTGCACACAGGTGGGCCAACAAAATATTTACCCATTTTCATTAACTTAGTGTAATCAAAATGTCAAATACACTAATAGTTTACATTTAATCAATATTGATTGGTAATATTGTCAAATAAGCCATATAAACAATATGTATTGTGAAAGCTAATTCCACTTGTTTCTTCACATTTTTAAATGAGGCTGCTGGAAAATTTTAAATGACACGTGGTTCAAAATTTCCTTTCTATTGATAGGTGTGCACTTCAAAGTCAGTATGTCGGTCACTTGTATTTGAAATAGGAGAGAGGACTTTCTGGCGCCTTAAGGAGAGGACGCATCTCAGCTTTGAGAGCACAGTGAGAGGCCAAGGACAGTGGTGAGACCAGGGACCGTGGGCCAGAAGACCTCAGTGCTGCTGCTGCTTTCTAGTTGTGACCTCAGCCAAGATCCTCAGGATCCCAGGCCTCAGCTTCCCCATCTGTAAAGTGGGGCTTTGGTGACAATGGCCGACACCCAGAGCACCTGCGATTGGACAGTTTGATCAAAGGCAGTGCCGGGCGTGGGGCTGATCCGGATTAGGCACCAATAAATGGGTACGCTCCTCTCCTCAATATCCTCCCTCCTAATCCTGATATGGAATAAAAAGCAAAGGCCCTGGATAATGGCTGGAGAAAGTGAGGGAGAGGGAAAGGCTGCGGTTTGGGACATTGGACTCTGGAGATATTTCTATGCAACACCGACATACGCACACAACACGCACACGTATGCCCTTCTGTGCCCACGCACAACGCCCTTCGCTCAAGTCAAGGGCGGGCACATCTCCCAGCCCCCTGTTCTGATCACAGATAATAAGAATATTGTTGATGTCATTAGTAAAGAGGAGGCCACACTGGACAAGGTGGACCCTGAATCCCATTAAATGCTGTCATTAAAAAGGGGACACACAAAAGTGAGTCCTTCATGCAAAGAGGGAGGCAGAGTACAAGCCCAGGTCCATGGATGGCAGTGACCCCCAGAAGCTGGAAGGGATGCAGGGGAAAACGCTCCTTCACAGTCCACAAAACACCAGCCTAGCTCAATATTCACCTCAGGCTGTTAGCCTCACAAACATGAGACAGTAGATCCCTACTGTCACCCTGTGATGGTTTCTGCATCCCCAGCACCTGCACAGCCCCCTCAAACACAGTTCTGAGGTTCCCAGCAGCAGGGCCTGCCCTTCCAGAGGCTTCTGTCTGCCTGTCTGATCCCACCCCCCTGGGGGGGGGGGTCTCCTGCCAGCAGCTTCCCTCCCCTGAGGCTCTGATTCTCCTCCGGGGAGCCTGCCTCTCTCCCCAGAATACAGTCTGTCCTGGACCCTGAGACCATGGTTCCCCTCTCAGCTCCTTCTGGGGTCCCAGTGAGGAGTGGCCGCAAAGTTGCCAAGTCTGTCCTGTCCCACAAACCGTCTCCGGTTTCCAGTATGAGGATCACCCTAAGTGTGTAAGTTGAGTGCCTACTTTGCGGGACCCTGTGCACACTCCCTCCCTCACAGACTGAGTCTAATTGAGACAGAAGATTCAACTCAGATGTGACCTGAACTAAAGATGCACAGGAGGGATACGGGGTCTGAGGGTTTGTTCTGGAAAAGCCTATCACTTGGTTTATGTCATGAATGGCCTCCCTGAGGATGGGACATTTATGCAGGACCCAAAAGGAAAAGGTGCCGTTAACCAGGCTGGGATGGGTACCCTGTGGAGGAAGGGGGAGGGGGGAGCTGAGGTTGCTCACAGGTGAGAAAGGGATTCACGAGGAGGTGGGAGGCGTCTTTGACAGTAGGGCGCTCGGATCCAGCAGGGTCCAGGCAGCTGGGGGCAGATGAAGGTTGGCCTGAATCCTGTGCGCCCGCCCCCCTCCGTCGGCTTCCTCAGGACGCACAGGCAGGCCCATATCCATGGTCCCCCCATGACTTCCCCTGCTACTGGGAGAGAGGACAGGCCTGAAATGCTGGACGGAGAGGCCCCGTCCTAGGACAGGGTGGAGAGGGTAGCTGGAGTTGGGGTCTCCAGGAGACACCCCACTGCAGTCCCGCCCAGACTGCGCGGGATCAGGACAGCACGTGCATCGGCCTCTCCTGCGCCACCTGGTTGTGTCTGATCGACCAGACCACAGGCAGGGACAGGGTTTGTTCCTGAATGGCCTCATGCGCTCATGTTCAGAGGACACGCTGTGCCAAGTGGGGAGACAGGGGAGGGGACTCACTTCTTCAGCGTTGAACTAGAAGGTGTCCCTTGTTAGGAAGCCTCACAACGCAGCAGGGGACAGGAGGCCAGCCAGGGTAGACAGGGTTCACCCCCATCACTAACACTGTGGCGAAGAGCCCCGTGCCCACCCTCTGGGAGAACCCCAATAAGTGCCAGCCCCCTGGTGCATGGAGCACAGAGGGAGGCTCAGAGGAGCTTGTGGTCACCTGGGTCCCTGAGGTTCGATTCCTGACCTTCCCCCTCAGCCGTGTTAGGCTGCGGTCAGGGGCGGTCGGTGTCAGGAGACACGATTATAACGTCCATGTCACAGCTGCTCCTGCACAGAATATGGTCAGCATCTGTCCAGGGGCTCCACATGCCTGGGAGGAGGGGGACGTCAGGACAGAGTTGGCCCAACACCTGACGGGAGGGACAGAATTGGGCAGGGCGAGGGCAGGGTCAAGCCCACAGGGACAGTGTCCTTCTCTCCGCCCTCCTGTCGCGGCAGCCGCAGTTCCACTCCGAGCGAGCCAGAGGGCTGCGACGGCCCCCCCAGGACACCGCTAGATCCCCTTTCCCGCGACCTCGGCATGGCAACCTGGACACAGAGCTGCGCTCGGCCACTGGGTATCCCTCCACCATATGCTGACCTTGGCAAAGCTGCCAGATATATTTTCAACAAAGGATTCAGCTCAGCTGAGCTGGGAGGCTCTCAGATTAATCTTGAAATTTTCTCCAAGGCACAGCCCAGGCACCACGATGTAGGAATTCAAGGACCGTTATTTCCGGACCCAGGACTCGGCACCTGTACTGTGTGGCCCTCCTCCCAGAAGTGACAGCGCCGCACAGACACCAGCCTGGCCTGGTCCCGCCGGCCCTGAATCCACCGCTGCCCCACCCTCCGCACAGCTCCCTGGGAGGGGCCGCCTGGAACCTGGGAGACGGGACCTGGGCCAGAGCTGGGCATGGCTTTGTCTGCAGTCCCAGTGCGGCCTGAGGAGAGCGTGACCCAGATGGAGGTTTGTGTCTCACTTCCCCCGTCTGCCTGTGTCACTGTGAGCATTAATACTGCTATGCCCTGCTGCACAGAAATAGTCCGCCTCGTCCTCGGCCTGGGCCCCGCTGATGGTCAGGGTGGCCGTGTTCCCCGAGTTGGAGCCTGAGAATCGGTCAGGGATCCCTGAGGGCCGGTTGCTGTCACGATAGATGACCGTTACAGGAGCCTGGCCGGGCTTCTGCTGGTACCAGGAAGCATATTTACTTCCAATGTTGTCTCCCTCACAGGTGATCCTCGCTGTCTGTCCCAGATTTACCGACACTGAGGACGTCTGCGTCACCTCATAGGAGGCCGCAAAGCCTGCAACAGAGGGAAGGAGAGGTGTGTTTAAGGTTGAAAGAGCCCTTCCCAAGAGACCCCTGCCTGCCTGCCTCAGGGAGCTATAGGGATTATGTGGGCCATCTTTCTAAGTCCCAGTGCCCCAGGGGTCTGGCTACTCCATGAAGCCTTGAACAAATGAGGAGCCCTGCCTGCCCTTCCTCCTGGCAGGGGCAGCCCCTCAGGCTGACACAGAGCCCCTGAGCACAGCGGGAAGCTCAGCCCCTCAGCCCCTCCTCCTGCCAGAGTCCTGTGCATGGGCTCCTGAGGGAGCTCACTGCTGAGCTCAGGGTCAGGGTCAGGGTCAGGCTGTCCAGATCCCCAGGCTGGGGTAGGTGGGGGCCTGGGCGCAGCACCTGCGCAGTGAGCAAGGAGGCCGAGGAGGAGGTGGGTCCAGGCCATGGCAGAGGTGCCCGCTTCTGTGCCCTGAGCCCGAGCTGGGCAGGGCTCCTCCTGGGCCTCTCTTATCCCCTTGCTGGGGAGGCAGCTGCTGGGTATGCAAATCAGCCGGGGCTCAGGGGCTCCCTGAGGAGCTTGTGGTATCAGAGAAGGCTCAGCCCCAGGGGCCCTTGGACCCCACCCTTACCTTAAGGGATTCCTCTTACCCTTGGTCCCACATGTGGGACTATTTCCCCATCTCTAAGCCGGGCTAGGTCCTGGGCTGAGCAGGCCAGGCCGGGCTCGCAGGTGGAGCCTGTCTGTGTTGTCAGGACAACCTCAGTCCTCAGATGCGTGAAGCCTAGGGTCGGTGTCGTCCTGGGCCTGTCCTGGGGTTGCCAGAAAGTCAGTGCTGATGCTGAGGTTTCCCTGGGGCCCCGACCCAGTATATTGTTCGTTTTCTGGTCTTGCTCGGGAAGAAGACAATTCATTTTGGTCCCAGATTTCATGGAAGTCTCATGCCTAACTGTCTTTTGGTTGAATTCAGATGTTGGATTTGTCCTGACCTCCCTTTTGGGAGCCTTACGCAAAGGACTCCTCTGTCCTCCGGGAGCCAGTGCAGGGACCTTCCTGACCCCACCGCACAGGTGACACCAGGAGGCCAGTGGGGAGAGGATTCACCCTCATCGCGGCTCCTCAGCCACAAGCCCCGGTGAGACTCCTCCCTTGCGAAGCGCGTGTGGCGATTACAGAGAGTTCACGGTGCTGGGCGTCTCTGCTTCGCGCCCCGCGCTTTGGGGGCCGGTCCCCGTCGCCGCGCCTCGGTATCACTGGAGAGCGGTCCGGGCCGAGCACAGACCCGGAGCTCAGACGGGCGAGAGCTGCCGTGCGGTCTCAGCTCTCAGCGATTTCATGACGATGAATCGCCTCCAGATCCCGAGGGTGTGGGGCGACGGCAACATCTCCACGAGCAGGAGGTGAGAGTCCCACAGGCAGGAGAATCCGTACATCAGTGTCAAGGAGGGTACTTTGGAAAAGGCACCTGTTTTCAGCAGTAAGGTCATGGTTACTAACGCTCCTGGGTGTTAGAACCCCTGCTGGCAGGCCCGCCCAGTCTCCGGTGGGCTTTGCCACGGGACTCTCTGCTGCCCCCTGGTGTCAGCCCCACACTGGCTGCGGAGGCACAGGGGTGTCCTCTGTCCAGGTGGGGGGTCAGAAGCCACCGGGGAGGTCGTGACCCCCTAATCCATGGGCTGCAGGCCCCAGGGGAGAAATCGCTTTTCTCTATGTGGTCCCTGCGCGCTTTCAACCTGGCACGAGAGTCTCAGGGCACCGATGAAAGATGAGCATACTCGTTTAGAGTAGAAGAATGTAGGTCCCCCTTGAGGCGTCCCTGTACCTGTCCTGGGCTTGGTGCTGAGGACAGCGGCTCAGGGGCTGGCTCTCACTGGTGCCGGCTGTGGGGGCAGAGACAGCACGGGGCGGTGGAGGCCACTTTAACAAAGACAGAGGCAGGACATCCACCAGACAAACATTGATTTAGACCCACGTGGGCGTGGCACTTTCGAACCTGGCAATCGCATCGGTGAGAAGCAGGCCCAGTGCCTGCTGAAGGGAGGCCCGTGTTGCCGGTGGACGGTGCGGTGGCGCCCGGGCTGTGAGGACGCAGCAGACCTTCCGCCTCACCTCCCACCTCTGCGTCGTCTTCTGTGTTTGTCTAAAGCTGGAGCCTCTCTCACGCTGTCTGTTTGTTGCTGAGGTAGGAGTTGAATCTGTCCTGTTAGGAGAGACTCATGAAGTCCGTGTTCGGCTGTGCAAACACGGGGCCGTTGACTGAAGGAGCTCCAACGCTCCAGTGACCTCCGTCACCAAGGACATCCGAACCGCATCGGGAACGCGTCGAGGTTGAGGAATCAAAACCTAAAGACAACCAGTCACAAGGAGCCAACTAGCCTTACGCCACAGGCCCTCAAACAATTCCTTGCTTTGCTTCTGCACCTTCCCTGCCTTCCCAGCGCCTGTTGGCTCAGTGCTCCTAAGCGCCGGGGTGTGGCACCGCCTGGTTGGGGTGCATTTTTGTTCAAATGAACTGCAACTTTTAAAAATATGCCTCCGTTTCTCTTTAAATGTATTTTTGCAACGTTGCCTCTATTTCTGTGTGTTGTTAAATGACTGACTTAAAGTCTCTTGTTATTATAGGTCTCTTCAGATTTTCTGTATATTTTGAGTTGGTTTTGGCCCTTGGTGGGCTTCTATAACCTTTTGACCATTTTATGTAGTCCATGTAATATGTTGCTGTACAACCGCACATAGCGTTACCTGACAACTGTTTTTATTTTTGTGAGATTGTAAACCCTTTTTCCAAAGGCCTGTTCTAAAGGAAAAGTACATGAATTCTGGCTTTCCTATTCATTCATGCGGTTGTCGGGGCCCCTTTGTGTGGTATTGGGGACTGTGGCCCCGCGAAACAATGCGGCGTGTGTCCTGCAGCTTGCTCTGACTCGCTCTGTCCTGACAGGGGAAAGTCAAGGGTTTAGTCTCAAAGCAGGAGAAAAGAGTCCTGAGCCGCTGACCCTTGGCTTAGTGCTCAGCTGACGTCAGTGTGTCTGACAGCCCCTAAGCCGAGGCTGATCTACGTATTCCTCTTACTGGGACCTATCGCTCTCTGACGTGGACTGAGGAGCTCTGCACGCCTGCCTGCTGCGGACCCCTGCACGTATCATCCTCAGGAAGAGCCATTTCAGAGAAGGGCTCAGGGCGTCCCCACTGGAGCGAATCGCCACCCCCTCTGCTTGACGGGCAAAGGTGTCTGGAACGAGCTGTTATTTCATCCGCAGGGAAACGGGGGACTCTGCGGCACGGGGGCCCCCGCGTGCTGTTACCTTTAGTATGATTTTTTATCTCTTAGCAGAAGCTCTACTGATCGCCTACCTTCTGCTCATTTCGGTGTGAGGACTCCCTTGAGCATTTCTTGCAGCACAGACACGTTCTCTGCTGTGCCCTGGAGCACATCCTTCTGTGGAGCTGGCAGCCAAGCTTCCCGTGAGAACGGATTGATGAGGAGTCAAAGCTGAGGAGTGAGGGAACAGAGAGACGTAACATCCAAGTGTGAAGATGGAAACCTGAGGATCTTGTTTAACTGCGAAATGAAACGGCTGTCATAGAGATTTGGGGCCACTGTAGGAACATGAGATGGACTGGACAGAGGACCGTCGCCAATTTGTGAAGGAGACATCGAGGCTGAGAGATAGAGAGCCACGGGGATCAAGAGAGCAGTGGAGACACCGAGGTAGGGGAACGGAGGGAGAGAGAAGACAGGGCTGTCGGGCACCAGGTCACCCTTCGTGACATCCGGGAGTGGGCGCCTGGGGGTTCCGCATGCACTTCTTTCCAATGTTCTGTCTGTTAAAGGTCTTCAGTTTCAGCTTCCTGTACTTCATTTTCTGACGGAGCAATTTTGAAAAGTATGATGAAATAGACATGCCTAATATTTATTATTTTAATCATTGTGATGGATAATTTTGTGTGTCAACTTGAGAAGTCCCCAGATTCACCTTATTCTAGCTGTGTCCGCAGGGCGTCTCCAGACGACATTACCATTTGAACCAGCAGACTCAGGAAAGCAGACTGTCGTCCCCCAGGTGGACGGCACCGCCCACCCCCCTGGGAGCCCGCGAAGGGCACCTGCCGGGGAGGGAGAAGTCCTGCTTTCTGCCGCCTCCCCGAGGCTGCAGCAGGTGCATCTGGCTTCCCTTCCCGGGGACTGAGACCCACGCCACCGCTCCGCGGGCCTCAGCCTCGGGCTGCGTCACACCCGGCTCTCCTGGGCCTCCCGTGTCCTCGGGGCACACCGGGCGACTTCTCAGCCTCCCACTCTCAGGAGCAATTCCTCAGAGTCAACGTATCACGTTACTATTATTCCCTGTTGGTTCTGTTTCTCTGGGCAAGGCTGAATGACACCGTCGTTTCTATTGAATAAAAGAACTGTTTAGCAGCACTGGAAACAATCAGATGATGGTGCACTGTCACACGTCCGTATTGCTGGAGCTTTTTTATGGCCCCAGAGTGAATCTCTGTGTCATTTAGACAATACTTCTGGGTACTATGACCTGCCGTACAACATGAGCACAGTGTGGCCAGGAAAAGTCCCAGGAATGAGCCAGGCCGTGTCTGTGCTTTCTGAACCGTCTTGTGAAACGCAGGGATGGAAGGGCCTGCGTCCAGGTCTCCTTCTTCCCCCGCCTCGGGCAGCCCCTGACCCAGCTCCTGGGGACTCGGCCAGTGGTGTCTGTTCAAGGAGATATCAATTCTAGAGGGACCGCACCATCGCAGGCAGCTCTCTCTTGAGAGCAACAAGTGATGACGTGAGGGACGGCTGGGCTCTATTATGCCTTTGGAATCCTTGCCTTCCCCTCCCCCTCCCAGCCTGACAATAGCCTTTTAGCTCAGAACAGCCGCCTTCCTCAAGTTTCCATCAGCATAAGGCAAGGCCCTGAGAGGACCGAGAACCTACGTTTGTGTGTCTCATATCCTTGGGGTGGGGGACCCTGAAGACACCTGACTCTGAGGCCTGACCTACAGCGACTCAATGGCTCAGGACAGTGAGCAGCAGGCCAGGCTTAGGGGTTTAAGTCCCACTTCCCTGCCTGGGTGTGTCCCTGTGAGTCAATGCCAGCTGCTCCCACTGCCAAAGGTTACTGAATAGTAAGAGTCGGCCTCGTCCTGGGCCTGGGCCCCACTGACGGTCAGGGTGGCCGTGTTCCCTGGGTTGGAGCCTGAGATTCGGTCAGGGATCCGTGAGTTCCGCTTGGAGCTGGAATTAATGACTGTTACAGGGGCCTGGCCGGGCTTCTGCGGGTGCCATTAAGCATTTGTACTTCCAAGCTTGTCTCCCCCAAGGGTGATCCGGGCCGCCTGTCCCAGGTTCACCGAAACCAAGACGGCTGTGAGAGCTCATAGGGCGGCCACAGAGCCTGCAAGAGAGGAAGGTAGATAGGATTCCTGCGGAGGGCTCATGAGGTGGACGAAGCCGTGCCTGGCCTACAATGAGCTCCCGGATGGGGGTGCGTGGGAGCCTGGGCGCAGCACCTGCGCAGTGAGTGAGGAGGCCGAGGAGGAGAGGGGTCCAGGCCACGGAGGAGGTGCCCGCTTCTGCTCCCTGAGCCCGAGCTGGGCGGGGCTCCTCCTGGGCCTGTCTCATCCCCTTGCTGGGGAGGCAGCTGCTGGGTATGCAAATCAGCCGGGGGTCAGGGGCTGCCTGAGGAGCTTGTGGTCCTGAGACTGGCTCAGCACTAGGGACACACAGCAGGGAGGGGTGTTCCCTGCAGACCCCACCTTCAGCCCAAAGATCTGGTTCCTCGTCTGGTGCCAGAGTGTGGGGCTGACATCTGCACCCCAGACCGTCTCATGGCCTCGCCCCTGGGGGCCTGACCACAGCAGGGCTGAGAGGTGATGTGTGTCTGCATGTTCTGAAGCCATTATAGAGCGGTAACTGGAGAGGTGACAATATGAGCCTGAGGTCCCATCCCCCGCAGCTTCGAGCAGCAGAGCCCGAATGGAATTTATACCTTCCCCAGGGCACAGGGCGTTTTGGGAGCCCCTGTAAGTGTCTATACTTGGTTACAGCTCCTGGGACAGGTCACTGATGCTGGGCCTCAATGTCCCCGGTGTGCGCTAGTGCCACGGACGGCTCCGGAGCTTGAAAAGTTTCAACAGTTAACAGAGCTTAAGTGCAAATGGGGTCGGCCGGGCAGGATGAATAACCTTCCCGTGGGATAGAAAAACTGGCTAGTTCTACATGGACCAAACCTGAGAGACTCAGGATGCCACACCACAGTCAAAGGCGATCCTGTAGAAGACGCACTACTCTTTCTCCAGGTGAAAGGTGTTGGTTAATAACCAGCTTGTTTTAGCACTAGTAAATTATTTCCATTTTTAATAAAGGGAGAGATGAATAAAAAAATATAATGGAATAATCCCCTGCCTGTTAGAATTCCTCTTGCTCAGGCCCCCCAGTCTCCAGGAGGCTTTGCCAGGTGGTCTCTGCTGCCCCCTGGTGGCCCCTCCGCACTGGCTGCTGGAGGAGCAGCTGTGCCCTCTGTCCAGGTACAGGTTCTGAACTTACTGCTCAGGTGGTAACTGCCTGATCCGGGGACTGCTGGTCCCAGGGGAGGAACTGATGGTCTCTACATAACCATTGTCTGTCACATGACCACGCACAAGAGGTTCAGATCCCCTAGAGAATATGAAGAGTTTCATCTGGAGGATGAGGGGGAGCCCACCAGAAACATCATTGCGCATATCTCTTGGGTGGTGGTGTGATTCTGGAGCTCAGACTGGGGACCCAGGACTCGGGGGCTGCCTCCCACTGCTGCCCCCACTCGTGCAGGCTCTGCCCTGGCCGGTGCTTGTGGTTATGGATGCAAACAGACAGAGCAGAGCACGCCCCCGCACACATCAATCCGACCCTCGTGGCCTGCCACACATCCATCCTGGTCATATGTGTGAACAGAACTCAGTCCCTGTCCCACACATTCCGTTGTGCACCTAGGATCGCACAGGGGACACGATTGTTTGGGTGACACAGTGCACAGTCACCACCGCCTTCCACCTGTGTGTTGTCTTCCATCCCCATTGAAAAGCCGGACGAGTGCTCCTCTCAGGCCCTTCTTGGCCAGTATTGACCTTGCGGCTCAGTGTTGACCCACGAGCGTGTCAGCTGGCTTTGTCCTGAAGAAATTCTGCTACAGAAGGAAAGAAATAGAGGAGATGTACGCGGCTCCTGTCCCTTGAAGCGGGGTGTGACAGCTGGAGCTCTGGGGCCATCCTGAGGTCCCTCTGCAGCAAGTTGAAAGCAAGGCCTCCATTGCACAGATGTCGGTAAAGAAAGGGAGAGGGATTTGGGGCCTCATGGAGCAGGTGCGTATCTGGAGAACCACCGTGGGACTCGAGGCGTGTTGTGCAGGAGAGAAATTGGCTCCTGTCTGTCCATGTCCCTTATTGGCATGTGTATGTTTGCGTTAAAAAATTCCTGACTAAAGAGGAAAATAAAAAGCTAAAATAAATTAACCAATAATGAAAACAATGATAGGGCAATGATTACACAGCTGGTATGTAGTTTCAGACACTTAACTTGAGATCAGACAAGAATTGACAGGCAGGTCCTGTGTGGGGAGAGGCTGGAGACGTCTCTCTGGAGGTGACCCCGGAGCTGCCGTCAAGACGGGAAGAAGAACCAGGAGGAAGCAGTGAGTGTGGGAACAGCAGGGTCAGTGCCCTGTGGAAGGGTCTGGTCTGCCTGAGGATGAAGGACGGTGAGAAACTAAGGTGTTTATGATACAAAAGCAGGCGAGTCCACTGTGACGTCGTCTATAACATTAAGGGACGTGGTGCAGGACCGGATGTCATGGTAAGTGCACGCCTGGCCCAGGAGTCAGAGCACCTGGAGGAGGCTCCAGGGGGAGGAGGAGCCACTGCCATGTGACCGCTGTCCTCTGTCACAGAGGTGAGTGGGCAGGATGGCCACAAACACTGTCACTACACAGCGGACATGCGGCCATGACATCCTGGGCTTCCGGAGCCCCATAGCTGGGGCGTTACGGAGAAAATTGCAGGACAGCTGACATAGGAGGGGCCCCGTCACCATTTCATTGATGTCAGGGACCATTTCCACTGGATGAGAGACCTTCCATTCATGCCCTCTGTCTCCAGCTCCCACGCAGGCCCAGGAAACAGCAGGTCGGGTCTGTCCTGGGACACTGAATCCACTGCTGTCCCAGCCCCTGCGGGGCCACTTGGGATGGGAGGTGCAGCCTGAGGATCTGAGGTGTGGGGACCGGGGCCAGAGCTGCTCCTGGCTTCATATTTGGTCCTATTTGGGCTGCAGGAGAGCGTGACACAGATGGGGTTGTGGTTTGTGTCTCACTTCCCCGTCTGCCTGTGTCACTGTGAGCATTAGTACTGCTGTCCCACACCTGACAGTAATAGTCCGCCTCGTCCTGGGCCTGGGCCCCGCCGATGGTCAGGGTGGCCGTGTTCCCCGAGTTGGAGCCAGAGAATCGGTCAGGGATCCCTGAGGGCCGTCTGCTGCTCTCATAGATGACCGTTACAGGGGCCTGGCCGGGCTTCTGCTGGAACCAGGAAGCATATTTACTTCCAATGTTGTCTCCCCCACAGGTGATCCTGGCCGTCTGTCCCAGGTTCACGGAAGCCGAGGTCGGCTGTGTCAAAACATAGGCGGTCGCAGAGCCTGCAAGAGAGGGAAGGAGAGGTGTGTTTAAGGTTGAAGGACCCCTTCCCAAGAGACCCCTGCCTGCCTGCCTCAGGGAGCTATAGGGATTCTGTCGAGCTTCTTTCTAAGTCCCAGTGCCCCAGGGGTCTGGCTACTCCATGAAGCCTTGAACAAATGAGGAGCCCTGCCTGCCCTTCCTCCTGGCAGGGGCAGCCCCTCAGGCTGACACAGAGCCCCTCAGCACAGCGGGAAGCTCAGCCCCTCAGCCCCTCCTCCTGCCACAGAGTCCTGTGCATGGGGCTCCCGAGGCAGCGCCCTGCTGAGCTCAGGGTCAGGGTCAGGGTCAGGCTGTCCAGATCCCCGGGCTGGGGTGGGTGGGGGCCTGGGCGCAGCACCTGCGCAGTGAGCGAGGAGGCCGAGGAGGAGAGGGGTCCAGGCCATGGCGGAGTTGCCTGCTTCTGGTCCCTGACCCCGAGCTGGGCAGGGCTCCTCCTGGGCCTCTCTTATCCCCTTGCTGGGGAGGCAGCTGCTGGGTATGCAAATCAGCCGGGGGGTCAGGGGCTGCCTGAGGAGCTTGTGGTCCTGAGACTGGCTCAGCACTAGGGACACAGGGCAGGGAGGGGCGGTCCCAACAGACCTCACGCTCAGCCCCGGGATTCTTGGTTTCTTCTCTGGTGCCATAGCATGCGGCTGACATCTCCACCGCTGACTGTCCCACGCCCTCACTCCAGGTTCGTCAGGACATTGCTGAGATGAGAGGACATGTGTGTCTTCATGTTCTGAACCCATTACAGAGCGGTAACTCTGGAGGTGACAATAAGAGCCTGAGGTCCTTCTTCCCTCACAGTTTTGAGCACAGAGCCTGAGTGAAATCCCCACCTTGCTCAGGGCACAGGGCGTTTCTGGAGCCCCTGAGATGCTGAAAGTCTCTGTACTTGGTTACAGCTCCTGCGACAGGTCACGGACGCTGTGTCCCCGTGTCCCCAGGGGTGCGCTAGTGCCAGGGACACGTCCAGAGCTTGAAAAGGTTTGACAGTTCCAGAGCTTTAGCACGAATGGGGTGGGTGGGACAGGAATGAAGAACCTAGACCTGTGCCCGGGAAACTGGCCAATTCTACTAGAAGTAAAGCTGAGAGACTCACAGTCAGAATGTAACATCAGTGTGGAAGGAGATACTGCAGAAAACATCCTAAACCTTCTACAGGTGTGAGGTGGTGGCTAATCATCCGCTTGTTTAAGCACAATTAAATTATTTTGATTTTTAATACAGGGACGGATGAATAAAAAAACACATTATAGTATCCCCCTGCCTTTTAGAATTCCTCATGCCCAGGCCCCCAAGTCTGCAGGAGCCTTTGCCAGGTGGTCTCTGCTGCCCCCTGGTGGCCCCTCCGCACTGGCTGCTGGAGGAGCAGGTGTGTCTTTGGTCCAGGGCAGAGCCTGAACCTACTGCTCAGGTGCTAACCGCCTGATCCACGGACTGCAGGTCCCAGGAGAGGAATTGCTGTTTCTACATAAACTGCCTGTCACACGACCAGGGACAAGAGGCTCGGATCACTCATACAATATAAACGGGTACATTTGGAGGATAGAGGGGAGCCCATCTGAAACATCTTTGCGCATATCTCTCGGGTGGCAGTGTGATTCTGGGGCTCGGACAGGGAACCAGGACTCAGGGGCTGCCTCCCGCTGCTGCCCCCACTCGTGCAGGCTCTGCCCTGGGCGGTGGCGGCTACTGCTGCAGAGACTGAGAGAGCGGAACACACCCCCCGCTCACATGGACTCAGACCCTCGTTGCCTGCCAGGCGTCCATCCTGGTCGTATGTGTGGACACGACTCAGTCCCTGTCCCCCAGTTCCGTTGTGCACATAGGACCTCACAGGGGACACGGTTCTTTGGGGACACAGTGCACGGTCACCACCCCTCCCTATCTTTGTCTTCCATCCTCGCTGAAAAGCCACTTGATTGCTCTTCTCAGGTCCCTCTCGGCCAGTATTGTTCTTGTGGCTCAGTGCTGACCCTTCGGTTGGTTTGTTAGCTGTTCTTTTTCCTTAGAGCTTTGGCTTTGTACAGGAAAAGAATAGACTAGATTTACGCGGCTCCTGTCCCTTGAAGCCGGGTGCGACAGCTGCAGCTGTGGGGCCATCCTGAGGCCCATCTGCAGCAAGTTGAAAGCAGAGCCTCCATTGCAGTGATGATGGTCAAGAACGTGAGAGGGATTTGGGGCCTCATCGAGCAGGTGCGTATCGGGAGAACCACCGTGGGGCTCCAGACGTGTTGTGCAGGAGAGAAATGGGCTTCTGTCTGTCCCCGCCCCTTATTGTCACATGTATGTTTTGCATGAAAAAGTTCCTGACTAATAAGGAATAAAATGAGCAAACCTCAATTAATCAATAATGAAAACAATTATACTTACCTGGCTGGGGACATACCATGGTCACAAAGGTGGTTTTCCCAGGGGGGAGGCGTACCCATTGCGCTCTGGGTGTGCTGACCCCTGCTATTTCCCCAAATGTGGGAAACTAGACTGCAGAATTTGTGGTAGTGGGCGACTGCGTTCGCGCTCTCCCCTGGCCAAAAATATAATAATATAATGAAAACAATTATTGGGCCATGATTACAGAGCTGTAGTACTTTCAGTTAATCAGTTGAGATCAGATAGAATTGACAGGCAGGTCCTGTGTGGGGAGACGCTGGAGGGGTCTCTGTGGAGGTGACCCAGGAGCTTCGTCAGGACGGGAAGAGGAACCAGGAGGAAGCAGTGAGTGTGGGGACAGCAGGGTCAGTGCCCTGTGGGGAGGGACTGGTCTGCCTGAGGAGGAAGGACAGTGAGAAACTAACGTGTTTATGACACCTAACCAGGTCAGTCCACTGTGACGTGATCTATAACATTACGGGACGTGGTGCAGGACCGGACGGCACGCTGAGCACGTGCCTGGCCCAGGAGTCAGAGCAGCTGGAGGAGGGTCCAGGGGGAGGAGAAGCCACTGCCATGTGACCGCTGTCCTCTGTCACAGAGGTGAGCGGGCAGATGGGCCCCAAGAACTGTCACTACACAGCGGCTGCTGCTTCCCTCTGGTTTGCACAGGAAGTCACACGGGACCTTCTCTTGTGATTTAGACAATTCTGACAACATAGCACCCCTGCCGCCAAAGTCCGAACTCGTGGGAAAATATTACACTGAGCAATAACTAGGCTTGAATGAGACACATCACTTTATCATAACATGATCTACTTCCTCTAAACATTTGTAGTAAGATTGTTGTTTCTTTATCATATATTAGAAACCACAATATAGATTGTTATTGTGTGTTTCCTTTATCTTTTATAGAATTTCATATGACAAAAATGTCCTATATAAATACAGGTAGTAAAACTATTTCATGCCTTTCATTTCCTGTGTAGCTCATGCCTCTTTCTAAGGCGTGTCCTCTGTTCCTTCCAGTACTGAGGGTTTGCAGGTGGTCAGTTCTTTACTTTTTTTTACCCTGCAGTGCGGTGCCAGTTGAGGACTCAGTTGAGAGTCCCCCCCAAGGCCATCCTGACCCTGAGCCACACTCTGAGCGGTGTCTACCTTGGGGGAGGGCGGGTCCCCTCCACCAGCAGCACTTCCCCGTGACGCCCCCTGTGAGCTGCCAGGACGCAGCGGGGGAGGGAGGGAGGGGCAGCCCCGAGGAGGGGACTCTGGGGGGTTCCTCAGTGTCCCCTGCACGGGGCTGCTCTGTTCGGAGCCCAGGCTGCCAAGACATCCTGTGCTTCCTGAGCTCCCATTGCTGGGGCATTCCAGGGAAAATTGCAGGACAGCTGACCAATGAGGGGCCCCGTCACCATTTCATTGATGTCAGGGACCATTTTGACCGGATGTCTGTCTGGGTCTGTGAGTCCTTCCACTCATGCCCTCTGTCTCCAACTCCCACGCAGGCCCAGGAAACACCAGGTGGGCCCTGTCCTGGGACACTGAATCCACTGCTGTCCCAGCCCCTGTGGAGCCACCTGAGCAGGGAGGCACAGCCTGAGGATCTGAGGTGTGGGGACCGGGGCCAGAGCTGCCCCTGGCTTCATCTCCAGTTCTATTTGTGCTGCAGTAGAGCGTGACACAGATGGGGTTGGACTTTTTGTGTCACTTCCCCGTCTGCCTGTGTCACTGTGAGCATTATAACTGCTGCTCCATGTCTGACAGTAATAGTCAGCCTCGTCCTCAGGCTGGAGGTTGGAGATGGTTAAGTAGCGGTCCGCCCCAGAGCTGGAGCCCGAGAAGCGGTCGGGGACCCCGTCCCCCTTGCTCTGGCTTCCGCCACTGCTAACATACATCAAATAGCGAGGGGCCTTCCCTGGCTGCTGCTGATACCAACGAATCCAGTTGCTGCTGTGCTCACTGCTCAGGGTGCAGGTGAGCTTGACTGAGGCTTCCGGGGAGGCAGAAGCAGACGGGGGCTGGGTCAGCACAGGATCAGCACAGAGACCTGCAAACACAAAACACGGAGATGATGCCGATGCGCCCAGACAGGAAGGATGCCACTCAGGACTGTACTTGGAAGGAAACACCAGGGAGCGGGAGCCCTAGTGCCCAGGGATGGTCTGACCTGTGGAGAAAACCAGGGGCAGGAGGTAGAAGGGAGCCCAGTCCATGGCGGCAGTGGCTTCCAGGAGCTCTGCCCTGAGGCTGCCCAGCTGGCCCTGGCCTCTCCAAGCTCCTGTTTTATCCTCTCTTCTTGCAGCTCCAGGGGGAGGAGCACAAATGCAAATCTGTTTCTGTGCCTCAATTTGTCTGCCTCAGCTCTGGTCTGGGCCTGAGCCTGCGCCTAAGACCTCCTGCTGGTGGTTTCCTGAGAAGAGAAGATGGTGCAGCTGTTCATTTCAGAATGGAGAATTGACTTAACCAACACAAGGGCCTTCAAATGATGCAACCCTAAGGAAAGGCGACCCCTGGGTCCTGAGGTCAAGTTCAGGAGCGCCCCCTGCTGTCCGCAGGGTGAGCGTCACCCTGCAATGTTCAGCTTTTCAAGCAGAGGGACCTTTCATTACTTTGAGCCCTCACAAATGCTGCCCCTTGATGAGTGTTTTGCTTGCACCCCCACCTGACATCGGCCCAGCCCCTCCTCCGGTCTGCTGAGCACGGGGCTCTCCTTGTGAGGTTATTAATTTTCCTAGAGCCCCCCAGACAGTTGTGATGAGTCAGGACTTGATCCAGGAGAACGACCTCAGGGCCTGACCCTTGAATCCCCTCCCTGCCCGGCCCCCTCCCTGTCCCCTGATCTCCTCCTCCTCCCCTGTCCCAGGCCCCAGGCCTCCCCAGTCCCTGAGTCACAGGCCTCCCTCCGTGTGCAGGTGCTCGAGCGATCAGATCGTCACCGCGGTGGACTCTGCACGTCTCTGAAATTACAGGCTGTGTGAGCACAGGGGTAGAGACCCTGAAAGAGTTACCTGCTTTCAATATCTTACTGTGAGAGATATGTAAAACATATCAATGTTTTACTTTTAATTCATACTGAAATGTGACAATTTTCCATTAAGTCAGTTAACAAAATCTACTTCGAAACCAGTTCTACTTGCTTCTTGACAAACTTAATGTGGATCCTGGAAAATTTTAAATTACATATGAGCTTCAAAATTTTATTTCTAATTAACAGGGCCACAGTTTGAATCACTATATCAGTCACTTGCGTTTGAAATAGGAGAGAGAACTTTCTGGCACCTTGAGGAGAGCACATCTCAGCTTTGAGGGCACAACGAGAGGCCAAGGACGGCGGTGAGACCAGGGACCGTGGGGCCATAAGGCCTCGGTGCTGTGGCCGCTTTCCAGTTGTGACCTCAGACAAGCAGCTCCTGCCTCCAGGCCTCAGCTTCCCGACCTGAAAAAGGGGCGAGGAGACAATGGCTGACACACAGAGCATCTGCGATTGGACAGTTTGATCAAACACAGAGCTGGGCGTGGGGCTGATCCGGATTAGGCACCAATAAATGGGTACGCTCCTCTCCTCAATATCCTTCCTGCTAATCCTGATATGGAATATAAAGCGAAGGCCCTGGATAATGGCTGAAGAAAGAAGGGAGAGGGAAAGGCTGGGGTTTGGGACACTGGACTGTGGAGATATTTGTTGGCAACACGGACATGCGCACCAAGTAGGCACACGAATACCCTCATCTGCACGCACCCACTACACCCTCCACAGAAGTCACGGGAGGGCACATGTCTGAGCTCCCTGTTCTGGTCACCAGAAACAAGAATATCATCGCTCTAATTAGTAAAGATGAATCCGTACTCGACTAGGATGTGCCATTAATCCCGTTACATGTTGTCCTTAAAAGAGGGGCAGTCGCTCACCCGTGAGAACAGCCTGTGAAGACGGAAGCATGGTCTGTAGCCAGGGACAGCAGATGCCAGCGACCTCTCTTTAAAGGAAAAGGCGGGGGTAACCCATTGGGGACGGGCCCTCTAAGGAGGATGAGGGGAGGGAGCTGCGATCGCCCACGGGGTGCAGAATGGGACTCACGAGGAGATGGCGGCGTTTTGACAGCAGGACCCAGGGCTCTGTCAGGGTCCAGGCGCTGGTAGCAGGTGAGGGCGGACCTGCAGCCAGTAGGCGCTCCGCTCCCCCAACTGCCTCCTCAGGCCGCACAGGCAGGCCAGTGCCCACTGTCCCCCCATAACTTGCCCCGGTCATGGGGGAAAGGACAGGCCTGCAACGCTGGACAGAGGAGCCCCGTCCTCGGATGGGGTGGGGGTGGTGGCTGGAGGCGGGGTCTCCAGGGGACGCCCTGCTCTCCTACCGCCCGGACTCTGCGGGATGAGGACGGCTCGTGCACCTGCCTCTCTTGCACCGTCTGGGTGTGTCTGAGAGCACAGACCACAGGCAGGGACAGGGTTTGTTCTCAGGTGGCCTCATGTGCTCATATTCAGAGGACACAATGTGCCAAGTGGTGGCACAGAGCAGTGGCCCTCACTTCTTCAGCCTTAGAATTAGGAGGGGTCCCAGGTCAGGAGACCTGAGGGGACACAAGAGGGGACAGGAGGAGAGGAGGCCAGAGCAGGGTGGACAGTGTACACTCCCGTCACTAACACACTGTGGCGAAGAGCCCCGGGCCCACCCTGCGTGGGAACCCCGATTACTGCCCGCCTCCTGGTGCGCGGAGCCCAGAGGGAGGCTCAGAGGCGCGTGGCCCCCTCAGTCCGTGAGGTTCGGTTCTTGACCTTCCCCCTCAGCCGTGTTACGCTGTGATCGGGGCGGTCGGTGTCAGGGACAAGATTATAACTTCCATGCCACTGCTGCTCCTGCACTGAATATGGTCGCCCTCTGTCCCTGGGTCCCACGTGCCTGGGAGAAGGGAGACGTCAGGACAGAGTTGGCCCAACACCTGGCACGAGGGACAGAAGCGGTCAGGGTGAGGGCACAGTCAATAGCACAAGGACGGTCTCCTTCTCTGCGCCCTCCTGTCGCGGCAGCCCCAGCCTGACCCTGAGCGTGCGCAGCGGCGGCGACGGCCCCCCCAAACAGGACCACTAGATCCGCTTTCCCGCGGCCTCTCGATGGCAACCTGGGGACAGAGCTGCGCTCGGCCACTGGGTATCCCTCCAGCGTACGCTGACCTTGGCCAAGCTGCCAGAGATATTTTCATCACAGGTCTGGTTTTGGGTTGGTGAACCTGGACGTGAAAACAAAGTCATGCAGTGGCGTGGAATTCTCAACATCTGGCACAGACACTGGTAAAGTTGCTGCGACCTTGGAGACCTAATATAAATGCTGTGAGTGTGGTCTGACTTTGACAGAGAAATGGAACGCCGATAACACTCTGGGGACAGAGATCGCAGCGGAAGGTCAGATATGTCAGGTATGAGACTGACATCTGACACCAGCTTTTCACCCAGCACAGGAAAGAAAAGTGGTAAAATCAAGTCTTCTTACAAGGGGGATGCATAAGCCTTGGGTGCGCGGTTGACTTTGCTTTTGCTGGACCTGCACTCCGTGGGTCCGCTGTGCTTCGTTCCGAGGGCTGGCCGCTGGACACCAGATGACCTTTGACGGTGCCCAATCAAAGCTGACAAGGCATAACCTAGCGGGGGGCTACAGGACTGGGGGCTGCCAGCTACACACGAATGTCAATGATGGGACAGCCCTTGGAGGCTCAATTTATGAGAAAGTATGTGAAGATCTTGTCTCCTCAGTAAACCTGGCCTGGACATCGGGTACCGGCTGCCCTCGCTTCGGCTTTGCAGCTGACCTCCAGCGGGATCCCACCGCCTGCATTTCTGCAACAGTCCGCAACTCTGGTTGCACTGGTTGGGCCACGCTCAGACCCTGAGGCCCGGCGTGAGGCTTCCCCTGTCCGCTCCGGTCTATGGGAAGAGCATTAATGCTGGAGGCCACACACTCGGGCTTGCCCTGGAGCTGGCGGCTTAATCCCCCTGAAAGAAACCCCGGAGAATGGGTCTCAGAAGATTGGGCCTTAGTATCCATGCGGTGTGACCAGCAGGCTTTTTTTCCTCTCCACGAAGGTGATCAAAGCAGAGGAGGAGCTAAACAAGAGCTGAGTTTTCAATGTGTGGACACTTAGTTGTTGGCTGGTTTCCGGCTGAATTGGTTGAGTATGTCGTCACAGAGCTGTAGCCGTGCGGTCAGCTACTCATTCTTTAAATGTATTTAACTGGTCCATGAGCTGCCCACCATAATGAATTGGACCTTTATGAAAACTGTGCAATGGTGTGCGTGTTTGTTTTTATGTCTCTTTTAACATTGAATGTTGCCGTTGCATGAAAGGGATCAGTGGAGTCAAGATGAGGTTAAAATTGTTTTGTTAAATAGCAACCATGAGAATCACTTTCGGTCTCCTAAAACGTGACAAATTATGAATAAAACAAGTATACATATTTAATGACTCCAAGTATTTGCAGAATTAAAAGTTTGCTCGCTGGGGTCCCATCTCTCTGGTTAATAATTAATATAGTTAGTATTTAAATAATTAATGTTTTTCTGAAGAGCATTTTGCTCTTTACCAAAACCCGTGCCACTAACTTCTGTAAGTTCTTAGCGTGACTTCGTGGGCTTTTTATACTACAATAAAATAGAGGACACATGGCTTAAACAAAAATGAGCACAAGGAGCCTGAGCAAGAGGGAGAGCAGGTCCCCTGTGCTACACAGACAGTGCCCTTCTGTGGTGACTGTCCCGGGCTGCGAGTCGCAGGTAGATAGGAGCGAAGCCGCTCCCAGCGCGGTCGTCAGAGGGGACAGTCAGACAGGCAGATTCCCACCCAGACCTGCTGCTTCTGAATCTCGGGCGAGCTCAGGGCACCTGTGTTCTGTGGTCTCAGTCACCGTGGAAACTCTCACTTCCTCCTGCCGTGCCCCCAGGCCCGTCCGAGTCCCCCGGGCCTTGGTGCAGGACTGCGCTGCCCTTGTGGCCTGAGCCGGACTCAGGTGTTACACCCTGTAGTGACGTGGGGAAAAGTGTTTTACACACAGACACTGTCTCCGGCCTCAGTCGGGTGCTTCGGAGAGAAGGTGAGGTCCCTTTCCTGTTTTGGTCTTCATGGTTTTCTCTTTCACTTTGAGTAGATGCTGTTGCTATGACAGCAAGTTCTGGACTGTTGTCTTTGGGAGCATCTCATCGGATGTCAAAGTCATCCTGTATGTTTTCAATGCCAAATATATTAAGTGTTTTATTGAACTAGTGAACGTGGAGCTCTGTTCTCTGGGTCTTCCCTCGCCAATGTTAAATCATTCATCCTCCCTTATGAAGGAGGAAATACAGTTACAGTCATATGATTTGTCTCCAGACCACAAGTTATATCCTCTGGGCTATTTCAGGGACATTTTGGATGCAGTGGTTTTATGTTCCTAACAGTCCATGTTTTCCTGATTGTTTGCAGGAAAGTTCTGACAGGATGTCAGGCAGCGTGACCGTTCCCCTGTTGCATCAGGAACACAGGTGCTTCTCACTGTGTTGGTGATTCCCATTTTGGGATTCGGTAAATGGCCTGGACACAGGTCCGTCCTGTCTCCACCTGCTTTCCCACACACTTTCTAAATGCCACCCACACAGACTGTAGTTGGGGGCTAAGTTCCCGCAGTGGGGTACCCATCTCCTCTCTAGTCAACCTAATTCCTGATTGGGGGGCTTCCCCCCACTGGGTCCAAGCAGCATATGAGAGGAGCTGACTCTGGGACTGTCCCCCACTCTGGTGACCTTGGGCAGTTCCCTCCTCAGCCTCAGGTGGTTCCCTCCCAGGTGCGCTCACCAGCCTCGTGGGAACGTTGCAGACGCCAGGGCGTCCTCGCTGTGCAGCTGCCTCCTCTCCCCCCCTTTCCCCCCCGGGGCTGCTCTTTTCTCTCCAGGGCGCTGGAAACTCCCCCTGACAGGGAACCTCCCTGGGGAGGGGTCGCGGGTCTCTCTGGAGGGAAGCCCGGAGGCAAGGCCTGGGAACGGCGGAGCGGTGGCAGCAGAGGGCTCAGCTGCAGGGGCTGGGTCCTTCTGGACTGAGGCCGGGCCTTGTGAACTGGGCATGGGGCAGTCATGGGCCCGAGTCACACTCGGGGAAAGGCATGACCCTGAGGGAGGCGGTTCTTTGCCATCGGACCTTCCCGGTGAGGGCACAGCTGTGGTCACCGGCGCCCCAGCAGGGGTGCTTGGTGTGCGGACACTGGGTGGCTCCGTTCATAGTCCTGGGCGGCCACGGAGCCTCGGGCCTTAGGAGCTCAGCTGAGCTGGCAGCTCTGGGGATGAATGAGGAATGTTGCACGAAGGAGCGGTCCAGTCATTGTGACATAAAATTCAGGGACTGTTACTTCTGGATTAAGAAAAGTGGGACCAGTCCTGTGTCAGGCCTTCCTTCCAGAAGTGACAGTGCCGCTAGGACACCGGCCTGGCCTGGTCCCGCCGGTGCTGAGTCCACTGCTGCCCCACTGACTGCACAGCTGCCCGAGGCTGCGAGAGGGGCTGCCTGGACCTGGGACACGGGACCTGGGCCAGAGCTGGGCATGGCTTTGTCTGCAGTCTCTGTGCGGCCTGAGGAGAGCGTGACCCAGATGGACGTTTGTGTCTCACTTCCCCGTCTGCCTGTGTCACTGTGAGCATTATTACTGCTCTCCCACACCTGAGAGTAATAGTCCGCCTCGTCCTGGGCCTGGGCCCCGCCGATGGTCAGGGTGGCCGTGTTCCCCGAGTTGGAGCCAGAGAATCGGTCAGGGATCCCCGAGGGCCGCTTGCTATCCTCATAGATGACCAGCACAGGGGCCTGGCCGGGCTTCTGCTGGTACCAGTAAGCATTTATACTTCCAATGTTGACTCCCCCACAGGTGATCCTGGCCGTCTGTCCCAGGTTCACGGAAGCCGAGGTCGGCTGTGTCAAAACATAGGCGGCCGCAGAGCCTGCAAGAGAGGGAAGGAGAGGTGTGTTTAAGGTTGAAGGACCCCTTCCCAAGAGACCCCTGCCTGCCTGCCTCAGGGAGCTATAGGGATTCTGTCAAGCTTCTTTCTAAGTCCCCGTGGCCCAGGGGTCTGGCTACTCCATGAAGCCTTGAACAAATGAGGACCCCTGCCTGCCCTTCCTCCTGGCAGGGGCAGCCCCTCAGGCTGACACAGAGCCCCTCAGCAGAGCAGGAAGCTCAGCCCCTCAGCCCCTCCTCCTGCCACAGAGTCCTGTGCATGGGGCTCCCGAGGCAGCGCCCTGCTGAGCTCAGGGTCAGGGTCAGGCTGTCCAGATCCCCGGGCTGGGGTGGGTGGGGGCCTGGGCGCAGCACCTGCGCAGTGAGCGAGGAGGCCGAGCAGGAGAGGGGTCCAGGCCATGGTGGGGGTGCCCGCTTCTGCGCCCTGAGCCCGAGCTGGGCAGGGCTCCTCCTGGGCCTCTCTTATCCCCTTGCTGGGGAGGCAGCTGCTGGGTATGCAAATCAGCCGGGGGGTCAGGGGCTGCCTGAGGAGCTTGTGGTCCTGAGACTGGCTCAGCACTAGGGACACAGGGCAGGGAGGGGCGGTCCCCACAGACAACACCCACAGCCCAAAGGTCTTGTTCCTCCTCTGGTACCATGGTGGGCGGCTGACATCTCCACCCCAATGGTTTCATGGCCTCACTCCTGGTTGGCCAGGCCACAGCAGGGCCGAGAGGGGACATTTGTCTGCATGTTCTGAGCACATTATTGAGTGTTAGCTGTAGAGGTGACGATATGAGTGTGAGGTGGGAGTGGGTCCCATGCCCGTCACAGTTAGTGAGCACAGAGCCTGAATGAAATCCCATTTTTCTCAGGGCACAGGGCGTGTTTGGAGCCCCTGAGAGGCTGTTAGGCTCTGTGCTTGGTTACAGCTCCTGGGACAGGTCACGGATGCTGTGTCCCAGTGTCCCCAGTGTGTGCGAGGGCCAGGGACAGCGCCAGTGCTTGAAAAGGGTTGACAGGTCCAGAGTTGCAGCACGAATGGCGTGGGCTGGTCAGGGTGAGTTACCGACACCTGTGACAGAAAACCCAGCCGTTCTGCGAGAACCACATCTGAGAGTCTCAGAGTCAGAAGTAGCATCACAGTAAAAGGTGATACTGTAGAAAATCTGACCAGTCTGTCTACCGTTGTGAGGTGGTGGTTAATAACTCCACTGTTTAGCACAATTAAACTATTTTAATTATTAATACAGAGAGAGGTGGCTCAGAAAATAAAGTACAATGATCCGCCTGCCTGTTAGAATTCCTCCTGCCCAGGGACCTCAGACTCCAGGAGGCTTTGCCAGGCGGTCTCTGCTGCCCCCCGGTGGCCCCTCCTCACTGGCTGCTGGAGGAGCAGGTGTGTCCTGTCTCCAGGTGTAGAGTCTGAACCTGGTGCTCAGGTGGTAACTGCCTGATCCAAGGGCTGCTCGACCCAGGGGAGGAATTGCTGTTCTCTGCGTAACCACTGCCTGTCCCGCGACCAGGCGCAAGAGGCTCAGATCCACCCGTAAAATATGAACAGGTTCATCGAGGGGATGGAGGGGTGGGGCCCACCTGTAGAGTCACTGATGCTCCTGGGAGTGGTCTGGGGACAGGGCGCTCAGGGACTCCCTCTCGTGATGCTGGCCACTGGTGTGGGGTCAAAATAGGGTGGTGGTGGCATCTGCTCAAAGACTGAGACAGGAGACGCTCCCCCAGCGATCGCTGACTCAGACCCTCATCGTCTGGCAGACATTCCGTCCGGGGCCATACGTGGGAACAGGGCTCAGTCCCTGTCCCACAGATTCCGTTGTGCACATAGAATCACAGTGTGGACACGCTTGTGTGGGCCACAAAGCAGTCACCACCTCCTTTACCTGTGTGTTGTCTTCCATCCTCACTGAAAAGCCAGGCGGTCGCTCCTCTGAGGTCCCTGTTGGCCGGTATTGATCTCGTGGCTCAGCTTTGACATATGGGTGTGCTAGTCACTTGATTTTTATCTACGAACTTTAGCTCTTGGGAAGGAAAGAAACAGAGTAGATCGCAGGTCCTTTTCCCCTGAGCTGGGGCGTGATTGCTGGAGCCACAGCAGTCGCCCTGAGTGCCATGCCACCAAAATGTAAGGAGAGCCAGCACAGCAGGGCTGGTGGAACAGAAAGCGAGAAAGCCTTTGGTCGTCATCGAGTGGGGAGTATCTGCAGCACAGCCATCGAGGCCCAGGCTCGTTGGTGCAGGAGAGAAATAGGCTCCTGTCTGTCCACGTCTCTTCTTGTTGTGTGTCTGTTTTGTCACTAAAACAACTTTGCTGACTAATGAGGAAAGTAATTAGCAAAAATCAATTACTCAATAATGAAACCAATTCTAGGGAATAATGATACAGCTACTGTAGTTTCAGATAATTAGTTGAGTTCAGGCAAAAACTGACAGGCAGGTCTTGTGTGGGGAGAGGCTGGAGGCGTCTCTCTGGAGGCGACCCTGGAGCTGCCTTCAGGACGGGAAGAGGAACCGGGAGGAAGCAGTGAGTGTGGGGACAGCAGGGTCAGTGTCTGTGGGGAGGGTCTGGTCTGCCTGAGGATGAAGGACGGTGAAAAACTAAGGTGTTTATGATACAAAACCAGGCCAGTCCACTGTGACGTCATCTATAACATTAAGGGTTGTGGTGCAGGACCGGACGTCATGCTAAGCGCAGGCATGGTCCAGGAGTCTGAGCAGCTGGAGGAGCCTCCATGTGGAGGAGGATCCACTGCCATGTGACCGCTGTCCTCTGTCACAGAGGTGAGCGGGCAGAATGGCCACTAAGGCTGTCACTGCACAGCACCTGCTGCTTCCCTCTGGTTTGCACAGGCAGCCACACGGGACCTTCTCTTGTGACCCAGAGAATTCTGGGAACTCATCGTCCTGCTGTCGCAGTTATGACCTTGTTCGAAAATATCACGCTGGACGGGAACTAGACTTGAATGAGGCACATCACTTTATCATAAATGATCTACTTCGTCTAAACATTTGTATTAAGATTGTTGTATCTTTATCATATATTATAAACCACAACATAGACTGTTATTGTGTGTTTGTTTTGAAGAGTGATATCTTTTACAGAATTTCATATGACAAAAAGGTCCTATATAAATGCAGGTAGTAAAACTATTTCATGCCTTCAATTCCCTGAGTAGCTCATGCCTCTTTCGGTCTACTACGTGTCCTCTGTTCCTTCCGATACTGACAGTCTGCAGGTGGCCAGTTCTTTAGTTTTTTTACCCTGCAGTGCGGTGCCAGTTGAGGAATCAGCTGGGAGTCTCCCCCAATGCCATCCTGACGCTGAGCCACCCTCTGAGCAGGGTCTGACCTTGGAGGGAGGGCGGGTCCCCTCCACCAGCAGCACTTCCCCGTGACGCCCTCTGTGAGCTGCCAGGACCCAGTGGGGGAGTGAGGGAGGGGCAGCCCTGTGGAGGGGACTCCGGGGTCTTCCTCAGTGTCCCCTGCACGGGGCTGCTCTGTTTGGAGCCCAGGCTTCCATGAAATCCTGTCCTTCCTGAGCTCCTATACCTGGGGTGTTCCAGGGAAAATTGCAGGACCGATGGCCAATGAGGGACCCCGTCACCATTACACTGATGTCAGGGACCATTTCCACTGGATGTGTGTCTGGGTCTGTGAGTCCTTCCACTCATGCCCTCTGTCTCCAACTCCCACGCAGGCCCAGGAAACACCAGGTTGGCCCTGTCCCGGGAGACTGAATCCACTGCTGTCCCAGCCCCTGTGGAGCCACCTGAGCTGGGAGGCACAGCCTGAGGACCTGAGGTCTGGGGACATGGGCCAGAGCTGCCCCTGGCTTTGTCTCTGGACCTATTTGGGCTGCAGGAGAGCGTGACACAGAGGGGGTTGGACTTTTTGTCTCACTTCCCCGTCTGCCTGTGTCACTGTGAGCATTATAATTGCTGCTCCATGTCTGACAGTAATAGTCAGCCTCGTCCTCAGGCTGGAGGTCGGAGATGGTTAAGTAGCGGTCCGCCCCAGAGCTGGAGCCCGAGAAGCGGTCGGGGATTCCGACACCCCTCTTATGGCTTCCGTCGCTCTTCACATACATCAAAAAGCGAGGGGCCTTCCCTGGCTGCTGCTGTTGCCATACAATGGAATAGCCGCTGTGCTCACTGCTCAGGGTACAGGTGAGCTTGGCCGAGGCTCCCGGGGAGGCAGAAGCAGACGGAGGCTGGGTCAGCATAGGATCAGCACAGAGACCTGCAAACACAAAACACAGGGATGATGCCGATGAATTCAGACAGGAAGGATGCCACTCAGGACTGTACTTGGAAGGAAACACCAGGGAGCGGGAGCCCTGAGTGGCCAGGGATGGTCTGACCTGTGGAGAAAACCAGGGGCAGGAGGTAGAAGGGAGCCCAGTCCATGGCGGCAGTGGCTTCCAGGAGCTCTGCCCTGAGGCTGCCCAGCTGGCCCTGGCCTCTCCAAGCTCCTGTCTTATCCTCTCTTCTTGCAGCTCAAGGGGGGAGGAGCAGGAATGCAAATCTGTTTCTGTTCCTCAATTTGTCTCTCTCCTCTCTGGTCTGAGCCCTGAGCCTGAGACCCCCTGCTGGTAATTCCCTGAGGTCAGAAGATGGTCCAGGTGTGGGTTTCAGAGTGGAGAGTTGATTTTACCCAACACAAGTGTCTTCAAAGGATGCACAGTACACCCACCCGTTGCCCTGAGCGCAGCCCAGAGGAAATGAGACCCATCAGTCCTGAAGGCAACTTCCACAGCGCCCCCTGCTGTCTGCACGGTGAGCACCATCATGCAGTGTTCAGCTTTTTAAACAGAGTGACTGTTCATGACTTTTGAGCCCTCAAGGAAAGCTGACCCTTTCTGAAAGTATTACCCGCATCCCAACCAGACATCAGCCCCCGCCCCTCCTCCTGTCTGATGAGCAGCGAACCCTCACTGCGAGGTTATTCATTTTCCCAGAGCCCCCCTGACAGTTGTGATGAGTCAAGACTCCAATGCAGCCCAACCTCAGGGCCTGGTGTTTGAATCCCCTCCCAGCCAGGCCTCTCTCCCTGTGCCCTTCCCCTGTCCCAGGTCCCAGGCCTGCCCAGTCCCTGAGTCACAGCCCTCCTCCTCTGGACAGGTGTCGGAGCAATGAGATCGTCACTGCGGTGGACTGTGCACATCTCTGAAAATTAGAGGCTGTCTGTGCACAAGGTGGGCCAACAAAATATTTACCTATTTTCATTAACTTAGTGTAATAAAAATGTCAAATATACTAATAGATTACCTTTAATCAATATGGAAACGGAAATATTGTCAACTAAGCCATATAAACAATATGTATTGTGTAAACTAATTCCACTTGTTCCTTCACATTTTTAAATGAGGCTGCTGGAAAATTTTAAATGACACATGTGGTTCAAAATTTTCTTTCTATTGATGGGTGTGCACTTCAAAGTCAGTATGTCGGTCACTTGTATTTGAAATAAGAGGGAGGACTTTCTGGCGCCTTAAGGAGAGGACGCATCTCAGCTTTGAGAGCACAGTGAGAGGCCAAGGACAGTGGTGAGACCAGGGACCGTGGGCCAGAAGACCTCAGTGCTGCTGCTGCTTTCTAGTTGTGACCTCAGCCAAGATCCTCAGGGTCCCAGGCCTCAGCTTCCCCATCTGTAAAGTGGGGCTTTGGTGACAATGGCTGACACGCAGAGCACCTGCGATTGGACAGTTTGATCAAAGGCAGTGCCGGGCGTGGGGCTGATCCGGATTAGGCACCAATAAATGGTTACGCTCCTCTCCTCAATATCCTCCCTTCTAATCCTGATATGGAATATAAAGCAAAGGCCCTGGATAATGGCTGAAGAAAGTGAGGGAGAGGGAAAGGCTGGGGTTCGGGACATTGGACACTGGAGATATTTCCATGTAACTCTGACATACTGACACAGAAGGCACACGTGTGCGCCTCTGCGCACACACAAAACAAAGCAGACAGGCACCACCTCCTTTCCCGGTATGGTTTCCTCCATCCTCACTGAAAAGCCAGGCGATTGCTCCTCTGAGGTCCCTCTTGGCCGGTATGGATCTTGTGGCCCAGTTTTCACACATGGGTGTGCTAGTCACTTGATTTTTTTCTAAGAACTTTAGCTCTTGGGAAGGAAAGAAACAGAGTAGATTTATGCAGCTCCTCTTCCCCTGAGCCTGGGCGTGATCGCTGGAGCCACAGCAGCTGCCCTGATTCCATTTGCAACCAAAATGAAAGGAGAGCCAGCACAGCAGGGCTGGTGGAACAGAAAGTGAGAAACCTTTGCGTCGTCATCGAGTGCGGAGTATCTGCAGCACAGCCATCGAGGCCCAGGCTCGTTATGCAGGAGAGAAATAGGCTCCTGTCTGTCCACGTCTCTTCTTGTTGTGTGTCTGGTTTGCATTAAAAACAACTTTCCTGACTAATGAGCAAAGTAATTAGCAAAAATCAATCACTCAATAATGAAAGCAATTCTAGGGAAGTAATGATATAGCTACTGTAGTTTCAGATAATTAGTTGAGATCAGGCAAAAACTGACAGGCAAGTCTTGTGTGGGGAGAGGCTGGAGGCGTCTCTCTGGAGGAAACCCTGGAGCTTCTGTCAGGACGGGAAGAGGAACCAGGAGGAAGCGGTGAGCGTGGGGACAGCAGGGTCGGTGCCCTGTTGTAGGAGAAGGTGTGTGGCTCCTCTGAGGATGAAGGACGGTGAGCAACTAAGGTGTTTATGATACAAAACGAGGTCAGTCCACCGTGACATGATCTATAACATTAAGGGTTGCGGGGCAGGACCGGACGTCACGCTGAGCACACGCACCTGGCCCAGGAGTCACAGCACCTGGAGGAGGATCTCGGGCCACAGTCAGTGAGGTGAGAGAGCAAATGGGCCACGAGGACTGCCACTGCACGGGGGCTGCTGCTTGCCCTGGTTCGCGCAGGAAGCCACACGCGGCCATCGCTTGCGAATCAGAGAATTCTGACAGCCCATCACTCCTGCTGCCAAAGTTACCAACTTGTGGGAAGACATCACATTGGACCTGAGGTCGGTTGGAATGCGACACCTCAATTTATCATGACATGCTCTTCTTCCTCTCAATCCTTGGAAGTAACAATTTCATAACTTTACCACGTATTATACTGGACAGCATACCTTGTATTGTGTTTGTGCATTAAACACTGACTTTGTAAAATAGAACTTAATAGGACAAAACTTTATCTATCCACGTAGTAACGGTATCTCATGCCTTTCATTTCTGAGTGTGGATTCCCATTTCTCTCCGTGTTGGACATGTCTCTTGTGTTCTTTCTGGTACTGAGGGTCTGAGGCTGATGAGTTCTCTAAATATTTGTACACCTGAGAAAGTTTAACGTTGCTTCCTTTTTGAAAGATATTTTCACCGGGTAAAGACTTGAAAGTGGACACGTTTCTGTTGAAGTTTTGTTTTTGCTTTTAATTTTCTAGAGACTTTCCTCCACTCCCCCCTCGTCTGTGCCGTTTTCTGGGAGACCCTGCCCTGGTCCCTCTGCTTCGTCCTCTCTATGGACGAGCCCTGTGTCTCCGAGGCTTTTACGATTTTCTCATCAACACTGGTTTGAGAATTTGACGGTGATGTGTGTTGGAGTTCCTGCATGGCTTTTGTGTTTGGGTTTTGTTGAGGTTCCTGGGTTGTGGCATCGCAGGATTCACTGCAATGAGAACAGTTTCTGGTTAGAATTTCCTCAAATATTTTTCTACCTTCCCCCCAAATTTTCTGCTTCCAAAAGTGTGACCACAGGGGTACAGGCTCCTTCAAGTTGTCCTCCCGCACAGCACGCGTCTGTTTATTTTCCCGCTGTCTTTCTGTGTCTGTGGTCTCGTCTCTTTCTGCAGTTGCTCGTCTACGTCCTCTAGTCACTAATCTTTTGCTTTGCAGGGATGGACACGCTGTCAGTCACACCAAGGGTCATGTCATCGCAGACGCTGTGGTTTCCGTATCTACATATTGATTGCCTGTCGTTCTTCTCTCCCTAGTCTGCAGTTAGAATGTTCAATCATGCTTCTACCCACTGGAACAAATGGAAAATAAGTTTTCTTAAGACCCTTCACTACGCATTCCATCATCGGTGAAATTTCACAGCCAGTTGGATTGATTGATTGATTGATTTTGTTGCCTATTATGGCTCCTATTTTCTTGTCTCCAATCAGGAAATTTTGATGTGACCCCAGGCTTGACGGATATTTCCTTGTGCGGTGAAGAGTATTTCTCAGTATGTATTTTGCCTGCTATTCCAGATTATTCCAGATTCACTAGAGTTAATGCAAAGAGGTCGATCCTCTGTCGGCTGGGTTGCCACGGTCTTAGGTGGGGCCCCAGCAGCGTGGAGCCCGGTGCTAATTTCCCGCCACCGAGGCCCAGCTCCTCTGACAGGTCCCTCTGGTGTCCTGATTGGGAACTTCTCCTGTGCATCTGTGGGACAAGTGGGACTCCTGACTGTGTGTGTGAGCTCGGCAACCGGCCCTCCCCGACCCCCGTCTTCTCTCCGTGGTTCTCTTTGGCCTCAGGGGGTTTGCTCACGCAGCCTGGCGATGAGAGCTCATGGCCTCTGGCCGAGAGTTCCCTGGGAACCCTCAGGACGATGAACCCGCATGCAGAGGGGTTTGGGGTGATCTTTCTAGAAGTAAATAGGAGCAGCAAGAGGGCGATCTGCAGGGCAGTGCCAGCTGCGGACTAGCTGGGAGGCCCTGCAGGGCCATCCTGACCCTGAGCCACACTCTGAGAAGAATGAGACCTCGGCGGGAGGGCGGGTCCCCTCCACCAGCAGCACTTCCCCGTGAGGCCCCCTGTGAGGTGCCAGGACCCAGCGGGGGAGTGAAGAAGGGGCAGCCCCGAGGAGGGGACTCAGGGGGGTTCCTCAGTGTCCCCTGTACGGGGCGGCTCTGTTCGGAGCCCAGGATGTCACGACACGCTGGGACTTCCTGAGCTCCCATAGCTGGGGCATTCTGGGAACAAATCCAGGACAGGTGACCAAGGAGGGGCCCCGTCACCATCACAATGATAATTAGGGTCTATTTCCACTGGATGTGTGTCTGGGTCTGTGAGTCCTTCCACTCATGCCCTCTGTCTCCAACTCCCACGCAGGCCAGGAAACAGCCGGTCGGCCCTGTCCTGGGAGACTGAATCCACTGCTGTCCCAGCCCCTGCGGAGCCGCTTGGATGGGAGGGGCAGCCTGAGGATCTGAGGTCTGGGGACCGGGGCCAGACCTGCCCCTGGCTTCGTCTCCAGCCCTATTTGGGCTGCAGGAGAGCGTGACACAGAGGGGGTCGGGGTTTCTCTCTCTCTTCCCCGTCTGCCTGTGTCACTGTGAGCACTATCATCGCTCTCATCTGACAGACAGTAATAGTCAGCCTCGTCCTCAGCCTGGGCCCCGCTGATGGTCAGCGTGACAGTCTTCCCTGAGCTGGAGCCGGAGAATCGCTCAGGGATCCCCGAGGGCCGCTCGCTATCCTTATAAATGACCAGCGCAGGGACCTGGCCGGGCTTCTGCTGGTACCAGAGAGTATATCTTTTATCGATGAAATCTCCAGTGCAGGTGATCGTGGCCGTCTCTCCCGAGGCCACCGACAAGGAAGACGACTGGGTCAGCTCGTAGGAGGCCACGGAGCCTGTAAGAGAGGAGGGTAGAGGGGGCTGAGGATAAAGGCCGTGCCTAGGAGGGTCCACGTGGAGGCTGTGCCTGGGCTGAGCTCAGGGTTTGCAGGTCTGACTCAGGGTCCCGTGGGGACTGAGCCCGCAGGCAGGGCCCGTGGGGGCGCACCTGAGCCAAGAGTGAGGAGGGGGAGCAGGAGAGCGGTCCAGGCCATGGCGGAGGCGCTGGGTTCTGCCTCTGTGCCCACAGCGGCGGTGGGTCTCTGGGCCTCCCTTATGCTCTGCAGGGGCTCCTCATGCAAATCTCCCTCCTCCCTCCTTGGCAGCTCTCGGGGCTGCAGCTGGGCGAGTCCAGCGGGACGCAGCGAGGGGCTCCATTCACGCCCTCGCCGCAGGCCTGCACCCCGTCTCCCCAGGACTCTCTGGGTAGGGGGGCGCTTGTGCGCCCCGAAACAGCACCTGCACACCCGCCCCTGTGTGATCCCCGGGCCGCCGCCCTGGGCTCGGGCCCCCTCTCAGTCACCCTTCTAGGGATGGGACCTTCCAGGAGCGGGGCAGCTGTAGGGACCGGGGTCACGCTGGTGTGTGACAGGCCGCCCTCCGGGGTCAGACACGGGGAGACACGGGTCAGACGCTTCCCAGGGAAGTGTTTCCCTTATGTTTTGGGGAAAAAACACGACTTTCTTTCGGCACCCAGGGTTTGTAAAATATCTTGGTGAGCCCAGACGCATGATTCATTGAAGGAAAGATTAGTGGGGCCACACTGGACGACACCACAGCTGTCCCTGTGCTTTGCGATACTGTCGGAAGGGGGTGAAAAGGGCAAGACGCTGGAGAAAATATTTGCAAACTAAGGATCACATCAAAAGTGTCTGTTAGGGTATAGAAGGAACGCGTAAAACTGAGGAATAAAAAGATAGCAAAACCAGCAGAAGACATGCAGAAAACGGTCAACGGCCCAGGACAGACAGGTCCTGGAAGCGCCAGCGCCGTGGCCTCGAGAGTATAGAAGGTGCCCCCGATGAGCCGTCAGGGAGATGCAAGTTAAAACAACGAGGACATCCCCACGCACCTGTCAGAGCGGCTAACGTGGAAGACGTGACCGGCCCCAGGACGGCCGGACCTGGATAGACAGGGTCACCGGCGCCCGGCTGAGGGGAATGTGAAGTGGAGCCGACACTGTGGAAGGACTTTGGCGGCTTCTTAAAGCAGTAAACCAGAGGTCACCGTACGACCCAGCGACGGCATGTTAGGGCTTTTATTTCAGACCACGGCAACTGATGTTCACCGAGAAACTGTCCGCACACGTATGTTCCTGGCTGCCTTGTGCGTCGGTCCCCGAGGTGAGAACCATCGCGGGGTCTCTGTGTGGGTGGTGGTTAAACAGGCCGGGATCCACCGGACCGCAGAATTCTCCTTGGCCAGGAAAAGGAAGAAGCTCAATGCAAAGGCAATTTGGAGGAATCTACAGGCAGGATGTGAAGTAAAATATGTGAGTCCCAAAAGACTTCCTGTATAAGATGTGATTTTTCATTTCGATCGATATTTTCTGCAAAAAAAAAAAAATTTAGAAATAAAGATCTAATGGGTGGTGCAGGGTTAGGTGCAGGGAAGGGCACGTGGGCGGGGGCAGGTGGTGGATACTGTCATCCAAGGACAACAGGAGGGACCCTCGTGGTGACGGATGTGTTCTCTACCTTGATCGCTGGGATGGATACGTGAGCGCACGCGTGGGACACAGTTACATCACTGTAAGTACCCACACAGCTTAGGATGAGGAAAGAGTTAAAGGAAGGGTTAATGAAGAGGCACAGAGAGCATGAGGTACAGAAGCCGACCACTTAAATACAACAGTTAAAAATCCAGGCACACTCAGATGCAGGGGCAGGGTGGACGGGAGGGGGAGGAGGGGAGGAGAGAGAGAGAAGCAGGAGCAGAGGGGGCTGAGGGGAAAGGCTACCTCCTCAGCTGCTCTCCCGCTGGCCCCGCCCCATCCCCCTCCCATCAGCCCCTCTGGCCTCCTGGGCAGGTCCTGGGACCTGTTTCAGCTGCTGGCTCCGGAGCCTCTGCCAAGGCCACGGGCAAAGCAAGCATCACTCTTCCTTTCTATAACAGCTGGATTGGGGTATAACTGATATCACGCAAGGCCGCTTGCTCTAAACTTTGCTTTCTGGTCTCAGGATCACCTGGCATCTCTGAAACCAAAGCCACAGGTGGGGAGCAGACAATGAAAGGGACACTTGGTCACATCATTCATCAGTCAGTTTCACATGCCAGAGCTTCAGCGGAGTCACTGAGACCCTGACCCCGTCGCAACTCTAAGCACGAGAAATGGCCTCTGCGGGGCCCCACGTCCTTCGGTGCCCTGGGGTGTGAGGAGCCAGGCCCCTCGCGGGCGGGTCCCCGTCGGAGCGCAGCTCTGGGTGACCCGTGTCTGCTCCCTCACCGCTCACTGTCGTCACCAACACTGGTTGCCCCTCCGTCTGTCCACCAAGGACACTAGTGACTGTCTCCCATGTTACTGACACCACAGGCCCCGGGTGGACCTGGACGCAGTGGGGTCCATTGTGCGTGGCCCTCCTGACGCCGTGTCCTGCCGTTGAGTGGTGGAGGGGACTCCCAGGAGAGGGTCCGCAGAAGCCTTGCTGGGGACAATGTCACTGCAACCTTTGTAAAAAACAACCCTTGACTAGAGAGCAGAGGACGGAGATGGCTCTGTGCCCTTGTGACCCCTTAGCTGACCAAGGTCACTGCAGGACTGAGCCTGAGTCCATGTGCTTCTGCTCATTCAGCCCCGGGCCCACTCTGTCCCCTGAGACCAGCCACCCATGTCCCCTCCTGCCTCCTTGGGGTCACACAGGCCACGGGCAGCTCCTGGACTTTCATCTGAGAAGCCGTCACCGGGGACCAGCCCTGAAGGTGCTCCCGGGCCAGCTCACGTGGGTGTCCCGCATCAGTGTTCCCGTGGACGATGGGCGGCCCCCTGGAGGCCCCAGGCCGTGGCTGTGTGAGAAATTGGGGCGCTTCCGTTTCCAGGGAAGCTCTGGACGAGATGAACCCGTCCCGTACACTTGCCTCCCTGGGAAAGTTTTGGACATGGTGCAAACGCAGTGCTGAGACCAGGGGGATCAACGGTTTTCATTTCAGTGTCCCCCGTCCACCCAACTCTGAGGCTGTCCCTGTGGACGTGCCCTGCACTGTGCCCTGTGAAGTCCGAGGACAGGTGTGGAGCCTTTCTTGGCACCACAGGCGGAGGGTCTGGCGCAGCTGCAGGGCCTGGCCGTCCTGCGCACGTGTCACGCCCGAGAGCTCCGCACACGCACACGCTCCTCTCCAGACCCGGTTCTGCTCTCACCACGGGGTCAGGTCTCTCTGTCCTGCCTCTGCTGAGGGACACGTGCTTCCTGCCACATCTCTGCCCTACAGGACCCCTGTCATAAACCTTGTTGCACTCAGAGCTAAGACATTCACTGCTGTGACTTCCATGGTCCAACTGACACCCCAATACCCATGCCCTTCCCTAATCAGACCCCACTTGGAGCACTGGACCCGATGGCAACTGGGGACAAAGTCATCTCATCCAAATCTCTCCCTCAGGGTGTTTCCCTTTCGGGCTGGGCAGGTCCTTCCTCCCCACAGGCCTGTGGCTGAGGAAACACAAAGACTGCCGTGCTGTGAAAATGATCTAAATTATGAGCTGCATCTGCCTCTCCTTAGGGGTGTCACCTGGGGGAGGTGCAGGATGTTGGGACTGTCAACCACAAGAGTGAGGGTCTCAGGGTCCTGGGGAGGGGGCAGAGGCACGGCCTGCTGACCCTGTGAGGAGCTGGAGAGAGGGGGAGGGAGGTTTTGGCCTCACTTCCCCTTTGTCTGTATCACTGTGGCTTAACCATATTGTCCATCAATTTTATAGTCTGCATCACAGATATACTCAGCCTCGTCCTCAGGCTGGAGGTTGGAGATGGTTAAGTAGCGGTCCGCCCCAGAACTGGAGCCCGAGAAGCGGTCGGGGATTCCTTCCCCGTTCCTGTCGATTCCGCCACTGGTAACGTACAACAAATGCCGAGGGGCCTTCCCTGGCTGCTGCTGATACCAGTAAACGGTGGAGTCGCTGTGCTCACTGCTCAGGGTGCAGGTGAGTGTGGCCGAGGCTCCCAGAGAGGCATAAGCAGAGAGAGGCTGGGTCAGCACAGGCTCAGCACAGAGACCTGCAAACACAAAACACGGGGATGATGCCGATGCACCCAGACAGGATGGATGCCCCTCGGGACTGTGCTTGGAGGGAAACTTCAGGGAGAGGGGCCCCTGGGTGGTCAGGGATGGTCTGACCTGTGGAGAAAACCAGGGGCAGGAGGTAGAAGGGAGCCCAGTCCATGGCGGCAGTGGCTTCCAGGAGCTCTGCCCTGAGGCTGCCCAGCTGGCCCTGGCCTCTCCAAGCTCCTGTCTTATCCTCTCTTCTTGCAGCTCAAGAGGGAAGAGCATGAATGCAAATCTGTTTCTGTGCCTCAAGTTGTCTGCGTCAGCTCTGGTCTGAGCCTGCGCCTGCGCCTAAGGCCTCTTGCTGGTAATTTCCTGAGGTCAAATGATGGCCCAGCTGTGGGTTTCAGAGTGGAGAGCTGACTTTACCCAACACAAGCGTCTTCAAAGGATGCATCACCTCACACACACTCTTTGCCCTGAGCATAGCCCAGGGACAATGAGACCCATCAGTCCTTAAGGCAAGTTCCACAGCGCCACCAGCTGTCCGCAGGGTGAACGTCACCCTGCAATGTTGACCTTGTTCAGCAGAATGAGTTTTCTTTGAGCCCTCAAGAAAAACGAGACTCTGGATTGTTTTACCTGCACCTAACCTGATCTCAGCCCCTCCCCTCCTTCTGTCTGATGAGCAGGGAACCCTCCTTGCGAGGTTGCTTATTTTCCCAGAGCCCCCCAGACAGTGATGATGAGTCAGGATTCCAACCCTGGAGACAGACATCAGGGCCTGACCTTTAAATCCCCTCCCTGCCCGGCCTCCTCCCTGTCCCCTCATCTCCTCCTCCTCCTCTGTTCCAGGCCCCAGGCTTCCCGAGGCCCTGAGCCACAGCCCCCCTTCCGTGTGCAGGTGCTCGAGCAATCAGATCGTCACCACGGTGGACTCTGCATGGTCTTGAAATCAGAGGCTGTGTGAGCACAGGGGTGGGGCACAGGGAAACAGTCACCTGTTTTCATGAAACCTTGGTGTGAGAGAAAAGTGCAAAACATTTTCATATTTTATATTTAATTTATATTTAAATGGATAATATTGCCAACTAAGTTAATTAAAATCTATTTTGAAAACTAATTCCATTTGTCTCTTCACATTTTTAAATGTGGCTCCTGGAAAACTACACAGTACTTATGAGGTTCAAATTTTTATTTCTATTGACGGGTGGGAACGCACTTCCAAGTCACTGTATCAGTCACCTGCTTTTGAAATGGGAGAGAGAACTTCCTGTCACCTTGAGGAGGGGACACATCTCAGCTTTGAGAGCACAATGAGAGGCCAAGGACGGCGGTGAGACCAGGGCTCCGGGCCAGAAGCCCTCGGTGCTGCACCCGCTTTCTAGTTGTGACCTCAGACGAGATCCTCATGACCCAAGGCCTCCAAATGGGGTTTTGATGACGATGTGTGACACAGAGCACCTGCGATTAAACAGTTCGATAAAATGACGTGCTGTGAGTGATGCTGATCCAGATTAGGCACCAATAAATGTTTCATCCTCCTCATCAATACCTTCCTCCTTATCCTGATATGGAATGTAAGCAAAGGCCTCGAAATGGATGACGAAAGTGATGGAGAGGGAAAGGCTGGGGTTTGGGACATTCGACATTGGAGACATTTCTACGCACCACCGATACACGCACAGCAGGCACACGTGTGCTCCTCCGCACGCGCACACAATGCCCTTGGCACGAGTCATGGGAGGTCATCTCCCCATGACATGTCATCTCCCCAACCCCCTGATCTGATCGTCAGAAATGAGAATGTTGTACACGTCATTAGTAAAGCGGAGGCCACTCTGGTCTAGGGTGGGCCTTAATTGCGTTAGAATGCTGTCATTATTAAGATGGGAAACGTTGTGACAGACACTCACCAGTGAGACCACCATGTGAAGTGGGAGGCAAGGTCTGTAAGCCAAGGACAGCAGATGCCAGCGACCCCTAGAAGCTAGAAGGGAGGCTGGGAGAGACTCTCTTTCACAGCTCACAAAACACCAACCCAGCTAAAAATTGATCTCAAACGGTTAACCTCACAAATGTGAGACAGTAAATTTCCATTGTCACCCGTGGTGGTTTCTAAGATGCATCTGCAGCACCGGCACAGCCCCCTCCAAGGACGCAGCTCTGAGGGCCCCAGCAGCAGGGCCTGCCCTTCCAGAGGCTTCTGTCTGTCTGTCTGATCCCACCCCCTGGGGCGGGGCCTCCTGCCAGCAGCTTCCCTCCCCTGAGGCTCTGATTCTCCTCCAGGGAGCCTGCCTCTGTCCCCGGAATACTGTCTGTCCTGCACTCTAAGATCATGGTCCCCCTCTCAGCTCCTTCTGGGGTCCCAGTGAGCAGTGGCCGCAAGGTTCCCAAGTCTGCCCTGTCCCACAAGGCCGTTCCTCAGTTTCCACTGTGAGGATCACCCTGCGTGTGAATGCTCAGCGTCACTACCTTGTGAGACCTTGTGCTCAATCCCTCCCTTGCAGGACTGAGTCTAACTGAGACAGAGATGCAACTGAGCTATGAGCTGTGCTGAGGGCAGCACAGGGGGACATATGGGGTCTGATGAGTTTCTCCAGGAAAACCATGTCCCTTGGTCTTCATGTCACGCGTGGCCTCCCTGAAGGAAGGGATTTTTCTACCGGACCTTAAAGGAAAAGGTGGAGTTAACCAGGACGGGATGAGCACCCAACGGAGGACGAGGGAGGGAGCTGCGATCGCCCGGCAATGGAGAAGGGGACTCACGAGGAGGTGGCGGCCCTTTGACAGCAGGACCCAGGGCTCTGTCAGGGTCCAGGCGCTGGTAGCAGGTGAAGGCGGACCTGCAGCCAGTAGGCGCTCCGCTCCCCCAACTGCTTCCTCAGGCCGCACAGGCAGGCCAGTGCCCACTGTCCCCTCGTACCTTCCCCCTGCTGATGGGAGAGAGGTGAGTCCTGAAACGGTGGACAGAGAGGTCCTGTCCTAGGACTGAGTGGGGACGGTAGCTGGAGGCGGGGTCTCCAGGGGACGCACCCCCACTCACACCCAGACTGCGCGGGATCAGGACAGCACGGGCACCTGCCTCTCGTGCACCACCCGGTTGTGTCTGAGAGCACAGACCACAGGCAGGGACGGGGTTGCTCACAGGTGGCCTCATGCACTCATGTTCCGAGGGACAGGCTGTGCCACGTGGTGAGACAGGGGAGGGGACTCACTTCTTCAGCCTTGAACGAGAAGGTGTCCCACGTCAGGAAGCCTGACAACACAGCAGGGGACAGGAGGAGAGGGGGCCAGTCCAGGGCGGGCTGTGTTCACCCCCATCACTAACACACTCTGGCGGAGAGCCCCGTGCCCACCCTGCGTGGGACCCCAATAAGTGCCAGCCTCCTGGTGCACGGAGCATAGAGGGCGGCTCAGAGGACGTGTGGCCACCTCGGTCCTGAGGTCGGTTCTTGCCCTTTCCCTCAGCCATGTTAGGCTGCGGTCAGGGGCGGTCGGTGTCAGGAGACACGATTATAACGTCCATGTGACAGCTGCTGCTGCACAGAATATGGTCACCCTCTGTCCGTGGGTCCCACAAGAGTGGGAGGAGAGAGAAGTCAGGACACACTGGGCCCCTCGGCTGACGGGAGGGACGGAAGGGGCAGGTGAGGGCAGGGTCAAGCCCACAGGGATCCCGGTGGAGGGAGAGCAGGTGCCCTGTGCAGCACAGATGGCGGTGCCCTCCTGTGGTGATTGTCTCTGGGCCTTGAGAGGCAGGTGGACAGGAGGGAAGACTCTTCCTCCTCAGAGGTGTGGTCCTCAGAGATAAATGATTTTTATCGTCATAACATTTCCTGTTTCCTGATTCTTTGCAGGAAGGTTTACACAGCAATGTGACCGTTTCCGTGCTCGCTCAGGAACACTGTGCTTCTCACTGTGTTGGTGATTCCCATTTTGAGATTCAGTAAATTACCTGGACACGGGTCCGTCCTGTCTCCACCTGCTTTAGCCTATAACTTTCTAAGATGCCTCCAGCACAGACTGTACTTTGGGCTAAGTTCCCGCAGTGGGGACAACATCTCCTCCCCAGTCAACGTGATGCCTGATGGGGGGCTTCCACCCCACTGGGCACAAGCAGCATATGAAGAGGAGCTGACTCTGGGACTGTCCCCCACTCTGGTGTCCTTCGGTGGTTCCCTCCTCAGCCTCAGGTGGTTCCCTCCCAGGTGGGTTCCCTCCCAGGTTCCCTCACCAGCTTCGTGGGAACATCGCAGACGCCCAGGGCGTCCGAGGTGTGCAGCCGCCTCCTCTTCCCCACCCTCCCCCCGGGGCTGCTCTTTTCTCTGCGGGGCCCTGGAAACTCCCCCTGACAGGGAACCCCCCTGGGGAGGGGTCGCGGGTCTCTCTGGAGGGAAGCCCGGAGGCAAGGCCTGGGAACGGCGGAGCTGTGACAGCGGAGGGCTCAGCTGCAGGGGCTGGGTCCTTCTGGACTGAGGCCGGGACTTGTGAACTGGGCACGGGGCAGTCACGGGCCCGAGTCACACTCGGGGAAAGGCATGACCCTGAGGGAGGTGGTTCTTTGCCATCGGACCTTCCCGGTGAGGGCACAGCTGCGGTCGTGGGGGCCCCAGCAGGGGTGCTGGGTGTGCGGACACTGGGTGGCTCTGTTAAGAGTCTGGGGCGGCTCGGAGCCTTGGGCCTTAGGAGCTCAGCTGAGCTGGCAGCTCTGGGGATGAATGAGGAATGTTTCACCAAGGAGCAGCCCAGTCATCATGACGTAAAAGTTCAGGGACTGATACTTCTGGATTAAGAAAAGTGGGACCAGTCCTGAGTCAGGCCTTCCTTCCAGAAGTGACAGCGCCGCTCGGACACCAGCCGGCTATTCCCGCAGGTGCTGAGTCCACCGCTGCCCCACTGACTGCACAGCTGCCCGAGGCTGGGGGAGGGGCTGCCTGGACCTGGGACATGGGACCTGGGCCAGAGCTGCGCATGGCTTTGTCTGCGGTCCCTGTGTGGCCTAAGGAGAGCGTGACCCAGATGGAGGTTTGTGTCTCACTTCCCCGTCTGCCTGTGTCACTGTGAGCATTATTACTGCTGTCCCACACCTGACAGTAATAGTCCGCCTCGTCCTGGGCCTGGGCCCCGCTGATGGTCAGGGTGGCCGTGTTCCCCGAGTTGGAGCCAGAGAATCGGTCAGGGATCCCTGAGGGCCGTCTGCTGTCACCTATAGATGACCAGCACAGGGGCCTGGCCGGGCTTCTGCTGGTACCATTGCACAGCTTTACTTCCAATGTTGTCTCCCCCACAGGTGATCCTGGCCGTCTGTCCCAGGTTCACGGAAGCCGAGGTCGGCTGTGTCAAAACATAGGAGGCCGCAAAGCCTGCAAGTGAGGAAAGCAGAGGTGTGTTTGAGGTTGAAGGACCCCTTCCCAAGAGACCCCTGCCTGCCTGCCTGAGGGGTCTATAGGGATTCTGTAGGCCATCTTTCTAAGTCCCCGTGGCCCAGGGGTCTGGCTACCACATGAAGCTTTGAACAACTGAGGACCCCTGCCTGCCCTTCCCCCCGGCAGGGGCAGCCCCTCAGGCTGACACAGAGCCCCTGAGCACAGCGGGAAGCTCAGCCCCTCAGCCCCTGCTCCTGCCACAGAGTCCTGTGCATGGGGCTCCCGAGGCAGCGCCCTGCTGAGCTCAGGGTCAGGGTCAGGCTGTCCAGATCCCCGGGCTGGGGTGGGTGGGAGCCTGGGCGCAGCACCTGCGCAGTGAGCGAGGAGGCCGAGGAGGAGGTGGGTCCAGGCCATGGCGGGGGTGCCCGCTTCTGCGCCCTGAGCCCGAGCTGGGCAGGGCTCCTCCTGGGCCTCTCTTATCCCCTTGCTGGGGAGGCAGCTGCTGGGTATGCAAATCAGCCGGGGGTCAGGGGCTGCCTGAGGAGCTTGTGGTCCTGAGACTGGCTCAGCACTAGGGACACAGGGCAGGGAGGGGCGGTCCCCACAGACAACATCCACAGCTCAAAGGTCCTGTTTCTCCTCTGGTGCCAAGGTGGGCAGCTGACATCACCCCGACGGTCTCATGGCCTCGCTCCTGGTTGGCCAGGCCACAGCAGGGCTCAGAGGTGACATTTGTCTGCATGTTCTGAGCACATTATTGAGTGTTAGCTGTAGAGGTGAGGATATGAGTGTGAGGTGGGAGTGGGTCCCACGCCCGTCAGTTTGTGAGCACAGAGCCTGAATGAAATCCCATTTTTCTCAGGGCACAGGGCGTGTTTGGAGCCCCTGAGAGGCTGTTAGGCTCTGTGCTTGGTTACAGCTCCTGGGACAGGTCACGGATGCTGTGTCCCAGTGTCCCCAGTGTGCGCTAGTGCCAGGGACAGCGCCAGTGCTTGAAAAGGGTTGACAGGTCCAGAGTTGTAGCACGAATGGCGTGGGCTGGTCAGGGTGAGTTACCTACACCTGTGACAGAAAACCCAGCCATTCTGCGAGAACCACATCTGAGAGTCTCAGAGTCAGAAGTAGCATCACAGTAAAAGGTGATACTGTAGAAAACTGACCAGTCTGTCTACCGGTGTGAGGTGGTGGTTAATAACTCCACTACTTAGTACAATTAAAATATTTTAATTCTTAATAAAGAGACTGATAACTCAGAAAATAAACTACAATGATCCCCCTGCCTGTCAGAATTCCTCCTTCCCAGGGACCTCAGACTCCAGGAGGCTTTGCCAGGCGGTCTCTGCTGCCCCCTGGTGGCCCCTCCGCACTGGCTGCTGGAGGAGCAGGTGTGTCCTGTCTCCAGGTGCAGAGTCTGAACCTGGTGCTCAGGTGGTAGCTGCCTGAGCCAAGGGCTGCTAGTCCCAGGGGAGGAATTGCTGTTCTCTGCGTAACCACTGCCTGTCCCCGCAACCAGGCTCAAGAGGCTCAGCGACCATGTGTAAAATATGAACAGGTTCATAGAGGGGATGGAGGGGCGGGGCCCACCTGTAGAGTCACTTGTGCTCCTGGGAGTGGTCTGGGGACAGGGCGTTCAGGGACTGCCTCTCCCTGATGCTGGCCACTGGCATGAGGTCAAAATAGGGAGATGGTGGCATCTGCTCAAAGACTCAGACAGGAGACGCTCCCCCAGCGATCGCTGACTCAGACCCGGGCAGACTTTCGATCCGGGGCCATTCGTGTGAACAGGACTCAGTCCCTGTCCCACAGATTCCGTTGTGCACATAGAATCACAGTGTGGACACGCTTGTGTGGGCCACAAAGCAGTCACCACCTCCTTTACCTGTGTGTTGTCTTCCATCCTCACTGAAAAGCCAGGCAATCGCTCCTCTGAGGTCCCTCTTGGCCGGTATTGATCTCATGGGCCAGCTTTGACATATGGGTGTGCTAGTCACTTGATTTTTATCTATGAACTTTAGCTCTTGGGAAGGAAAGAAACAGAGTAGATCGCAGGTCCCTTTCCCCTGAGCCTGGGCGTGATCGCTGGAGCTACAGCAGCCGCCCTGAGTTCCATGCCACCAAAATGTAAGGAGAGCCAGCACAGCAGGGCTGGTGGAACAGAAAGCGAGAAACCCTTTGGTCGTCATCGAGTGGGGAGTATCTGCAGCACAGCCATCGAGGCCCAGGCTCGTTGGTGCAGGACAGAAATAGGCCCCTGTCTGTCCACGTCTCTTCTTGTTGTGTGTCTGTTTTGTCACTAAAACAACTTTCCTGACTAATGAGCAAAATAATTAGCAAAAATCAATTACTCAATAATGAAACCAATTTTAGGGAAGTAATGATACAGCTACTGTAGTTTCAGATAATTAGTTGAGATCAGGCAAAAACTGACAGGCAGGTCTTGTGTGGGGAGAGGCTGGAGGCGTCTCTCTGGAGGCGACCCTGGAGCTGCCTTCAGGACGGGAAGAGGAACCGGGAGGAAGCAGTGAGTGCGGGGACAGCAGGGTCAGTGTCTGTGGGGAGGGTCTGGTCTGCCTGAGGATGAAGGACAGTGAGAAACTAAGGTGTTTATGATACAAAACCAGGCCAGTCCACTGCGACGTCGTCTATAACATTAAGGGTTGTGGTGCAGGACCGGACGTCATGCTAAGGGCACGCCTGGCCAGGAGACAGAGCAGCTGGAGGAGGCTCCAGGGGGAGGAGGAGCCACTGCCATGTGACCGCTGTCCTCTGTCACAGAGGTGAGCGGGCAGAATGGCCACTAAGACTGTCACTACACAGCACCTGCTGCTTCCCTCTGGTTTGCACAGGAAGCCACACGGGACCTTCTCTTGTGACCCAGAGAATTCTGGGAACTCATCGTCCTGCTGTCGCAGTTATGACCCTGTTAGAAAATATCACGCTGGACGTGAACTAGACTTGAATGAGACACATCACTTTATCATAACATGATCTACTTCGTCTAAACATTTGTAGTAAGATTGTTGTATCTTTATCATATATTATAAACCACAACATAGACTGTTATTGTGTGTTTGCTTTGACCAGTGATATCTTTTACAGAATTTCATATGACAAAAAGGTCCTATATAAATGCAGGCAGTAATACTATTTCATGCCTTCAATTTTCTGTGTAGCTCACGCCTCTTTCTAATGCGTGTCCTCTGTTCCCTCTGATACTGACATTCTGCAGGTGGCCAGTTCTTTAGTTTTTTTACCCTGCAGTGCGGTGCCAGTTGAGGACTCAGCTGGGAGTTCCCCCAAGGCCATCCTGACCCTGAGCCACACTCTGAGCCGGGTCAGACCTTGGGGGGAGGGCGGGTCCCCTCCACCAGCAGCACTTCCCTGTGAGGCCCCCTGTGGGCTGCCAGGACCCAGCGGGGGAGGGAGGGAGGGGCAGCCCTGTGGAGGGGACTCAGGGGGGTTCCTCAGTGTCCCCTGCACGGGGCTGTTCTGTTTGCAGCCAAGGCTACAGGGATACCCTGGTACTTCCTGAGCTCCCATAGCGGGGGCGTTCCAGGGAAAATTGTAGGACAGGTGTCCAATGAGGGACCCCATCACCATTACAATGATGTCAGGGACCATTTCCACTGGATGTGTGTCTGGGTCTGTGAGTCCTTCCACTCATGCCCTCTGTCTCCAACTCCCTCACAGGCCCAGGAAACACCAGGTTGGCCCTGTCCCGGGAGACTGAATCCACTGCTGTCCCAGCCCCTGTGGAGCCACCTGAGCTGGGAGGTACAGCCTGAGGACCTGAGGTCTGGGGACCGGGGCCAGAGCTGCCCCTGGCTTCATCTCCAGTCCCATTTGCGCTGCAGGAGAGCGTGACACAGAGGGGGTTGGAGTTTTTGTCTCACTTCCCCGTCTGCCTTTGTCACTGTGAGCATTATAATTGCTGCTCCATGTCTGACAGTAATAGTCAGCCTCGTCCTCAGGCTGGAGGTTGGAGATGGTTAAGTAGCGGTCCGCCCCAGAGCTGGAGCCCGAGAAGCGGTCGGGGATCCCGTCACCCCTCTCATGGCTTCCGTCGCTCTTCAAATACATCAAATAGCGAGGGGCCTTCCCTGGCTGCTGCTGATGCCATGCAATGGTATAACCGCTGTGCTCACTGCTCAGGGTGCAGGTGAGCTTGGCCGAGGCTCCCAGGGAGGCAGAAGCAGACGGGGGCTGGGTCAGCACAGGATCAGCACAGAGACCTGCAAACACAAAACACAGGGATGATGCCGATGAATTCAGACAGGAAGGATGCCACTCAGGACTGTACTGGGAAGGAAACACCAGGGAGCGGGAGCCCTGAGTGGCCAGGGATGGTCTGACCTGTGGAGAAAACCAGGGGCAGGAGGTAGAAGGGAGCCCAGTCCATGGCGGCAGTGGCTTCCAGGAGCTCTGCCCTGAGGCTGCCCAGCTGGCACTGGCCTCTCCAAGCTCCTGTCTTATCCTCTCTTCTTGCAGCTCAAGGGGGAGGAGCACAAATGCAAATCTCTTTCTGTTCCTCAATTTGTCTCTCTCCTCTCTGGTCTGAGCCCTGAGCCTGAGACCCCCTGCTGGTAATTCCCTGAGGTCAGAAGATGGTCCAGGTGTGGGTTTCAGAGTGGAGAATTGATTTTGCCCAACACAAGTGTCTTCAAAGGATGCACAGTACACCCCCCCTTTGCCCTGAGCGCAGCCCAGAGGAAAGGAGGCTCATCAGTCCTGATGCAAGTTCCACAGCGCCCCCTGCTGTCTGCACGATGAGCACCGTCATGCAGTGTTCAGCTTTTTAAACAGAGTGACTGTTCATGACTTTTGAGCCCTCAAGGAAAGCTGACCCTTTCTGAAAGTATTACCCGCATCCCAACCAGACACCAGCCCCCGCCCCTCCTCCTGTCTGATGAGCAGCGAACCCTCACTGCGAGGTTATTCATTTTCCCAGATCCCCCCTGACAGTTGTGATGAGTCAAGGCTCCAATGCAGCCCAACCTCAGGGCCTGGTGTTTGAATCCCCTCCCAGCTAGGCCTCTCTCCCTGTGCCCTTCCCCTGTCCCAGGTCCCAGGCCTGCCCAGTCCCTGAGTCACAGCCCTCCTCCTCTGGACAGGTGTTGGAGCAATGAGATCGTCACCGCGGTGCACTGTGCACATCTCTGAAAATTACAGGCTGTCTGTGCACACAGGTGGGCCAACAAAATATTTACCTATTTTCATTAACTTAGTGTAATCAAAATGTCAAATACACTAATAGTTTACATTTAATCAATATTGATTGGTAATATTGTCAAATAAGCCATATAAACAATATGTATTGTGAAAGCTAATTCCACTTGTTCCTTCACTTTTTTAAATGAGGCTGCTGGAAAATTTTAAATGACACGTGGTTCAAAATTTCCTTTCTATTGATAGGTGTGCACTTCAAAGTCAGTATGTCGGTCACTTGTATTTGAAATAGGAGAGAGGACTTTCTGGCGCCTTAAGGAGAGGACGCATCTCAGCTTTGAGAGCACAGTGAGAGGCCAAGGACAGTGGTGAGACCAGGGACCGTGGGCCAGAAGACCTCAGTGCTGCTTTCTAGTTGTGACCTCAGCCAAGATCCTCAGGATCCCAGGCCTCAGCTTCCCCATCTGTAAAGTGGGGCTTTGGTGACAATGGCCGACACGCAGAGCACCTGCGATTGGACAGTTTGATCAAAGGCAGTGCCGGGCGTGGGGCTGATCCGGATTAGGCACCAATAAATGGTTATGTTCCTCTCCTCAATATCCTCCCTCCTAATCCTGATATGGAATATAAAGCAAAGGCCCTGGATAATGGCTGAAGAAAGTGAGGGAGAGGGAAAGGCTGCGGTTTGGGACATTGGACTCTGGAGATATTTCTATGCAACACCGACATACGCACACAACACGCACACGTATGCCCTTCTGTGCCCACGCACAACGCCCTTCGCTCAAGTCAAGGGCGGGCACATCTCCCAGCCCCCTGTTCTGATCACAGATAATAAGAATATTGTTGATGTCATTAGTAAAGAGGAGGCCACACTGGACAAGGTGGACCCTGAATCCCATTAAATGCTGTCATTAAAAAGGGGACACACAAAAGTGAGTCCTTCATGCAAAGAGGGAGGCAGAGTACAAGCCCAGGACCATGGATGACAGTGACCCCCAGAAGCTGGAAGGGATGCAGGGGAAAACGCTCCTTCACAGTCCACAAAACACCAGCCTAGCTCAATATTCACCTCAGGCTGTTAGCCTCACAAACATGAGACAGTAGATCTCTACTGTCACCCCGTGATGGTTTCTGCATCCCCAGCACCTGCACAGCCCCCTCAAGGACGCAGCTCTGAGGGCCCCAGCAGCAGGGCCTGCCCTTCCAGAGGCTTCTGTCTGCCTGTCTGATTCCACCCCCCTGGGGGGGGTCTCCTGCCAGCAGCTTCCCTCCCTGAGGCTCTGATTCTCCTCCCAGGAGCCTGCCTCTCTCCCCAGAATACAGTCTGTCCTGCACCCTGAGACCATGGTTCCCCTCTCAGCTCCTTCTGGGGTCCCAGTGAGGAGTGGCCGCAAAGTTGCCAAGTCTGTCTTGTCCCACAAACCGTCTCCGGTTTCCAGTATGAGGATCACCCTAAGTGTGTAAGTTGAGTGCCTACTTTGCGGGACCCTGTGCACACTCCCTCCCTCACAGACTGAGTCTAATTGAGACAGAAGATTCAACTCAGATGTGACCTGAACTAAAGATGCACAGGAGGGATACGGGGTCTGAGGGTTTGTTCTGGAAAAGCCTATCACTTGGTTTATGTCATGAATGGCCTCCCTGAGGATGGGACTTTTATGTAGGACCCGAAAGGAAAAGGTGCCGTTAAACAGGCTGGGATGGGTACCCTGTGGAGGATGAGGGGGTGGGGGGAGCTGAGGTTGCTCACAGGTGAGAAAGGGATTCACGAGGAGGTGGGAGGCGTCTTTGACAGTAGGGCGCTCGGCTCCAGCAGGGTCCAGGCAGCTGGGGGCAGATGAAGGTTGGCCTGAATCCTGTGCGCCCGCCCCCCTCCGTCGGCTTCCTCAGGACGCACAGGCAGGCCCATGTCCATGGTCCCCCCATGACTTCCCCTGCTACTGGGAGAGAGGACAGGCCTGAAATGCTGGACGGAGAGGCCCCGTCCTAGGACAGGGTGGAGAGGGTAGCTGGAGTTGGGATCTCCAGGGGACACCCCACTGCAGTCCCGCCCAGACTGCGCGGCATCAGGACAGCACGTGCATCGGCCTCTCCTGCGCCACCTGGTTGTGTCTGATCGACCAGACCACAGGCAGGGACAGGGTTTGTTCCTGAATGGCCTCATGCGCTCATGTTCAGAGGACACGCTGTGCCAAGTGGGGAGACAGGGGAGGGGACTCACTTCTTCAGCGTTGAACTAGAAGGTGTCCCATGTTAGGAAGCCTCACAACGCAGCAGGGGACAGGAGGCCAGCCAGGTGGACAGGGTTCACCCCCATCACTAACACTGTGGCGAAGAGCCCCGTGCCCACCCTGTTGGAGAACCCCAATAAGTGCCAGCCCCCTGGTGCATGGAGCACAGAGGGAGGCTCAGAGGAGCTTGTGGTCACCTGGGTCCCTGAGGTTCGATTCCTGACCTTCCCCCTCAGCCGTGTTAGGCTGCGGTCAGGGGCGGTCGGTGTCAGGAGACACGATTATAACGTCCATGTCACAGCTGCTCCTGCATAGAATATGGTCAGCATCTGTCCAGGGGCTCCACATGCCTGGGAGGAGGGGGACGTCAGGACAGAGTTGGCCCAACACCTGACGGGAGGGACAGAATTGGGCAGGGCGAGGGCAGGGTCAAGCCCACAGGGACGGTGTCCTTCTCTCCGCCCTCCTGTCGCGGCAGCCGCAGTTCCACCCCGAGCGAGCCAGAGGGCTGCGACGGCCCCCCCAGGACACCGCTAGATCCCCTTTCCCGCGACCTCGCCATGGCAACCTGGGGACAGAGCTGCGCTTGGCCACTGGGTATCCCTCTCCCATATGCTGACCTTGGCAAAGCTGCCAGAGATATTTTCAACAAAGGATTCAGCTCAGCTGAGCTGCGAGGCTCTCAGATTAATCTTGAAATTTTCTCCAAGGAGCAGCCCAGGCACCACGATGTAGGAATTCAAGTACCGTTATTTCCGGACCCAGGACTCGGCACCTGTACTGTGTGGCCCTCCTCCCAGAAGTGACAGCGCCGCACAGACACCAGCCCGGCCTGGTCCCGCCGGCCCTGAATCCACCGCTGCCCCACCCTCCGCACAGCTCCCTGGGAGGGGCCGCCTGGAACCTGGGAGACGGGACCTGGGCCAGAGCTGGGCATGGCTTTGTCTGCAGTCCCAGTGCGGCCTGAGGAGAACGTGACCCAGATGGAGGTTTGTGTCTCACTTCCCCGTCTGCCTGTGTCACTGTGAGCATTAATACTGCTATGCCCTGCTGCACAGAAATAGTCCGCCTCGTCCTCGGCCTGGGCCCCGCTGATGGTCAGGGTGGCCGTGTTCCCCGAGTTGGAGCCTGAGAATCGGTCAGGGATCCCTGAGGGCCTTTTGCTGTCACTATAGATGACCGTTACAGGGGCCTGGCCGGGCTTCTGCTGGTACCAGGAAGCATATTTACTTCCAATGTTGTCTCCCTCACAGGTGATCCTCGCTGTCTGTCCCAGATTTACCGACACTGAGGACGTCTGCGTCACCTCATAGGAGGCCGCAAAACCTGCAAGAGAGGGAAGGAGAGGTGTGTTTAAGGTTGAAAGAGCCCTTCCCAAGAGACCCCTGCCTGCCTGCCTCAGGGAGCTATAGGGATTCTGTGGGCCATCTTTCTAAGTCCCCGTGACCCGGGAGTCTGGCTACTCCATGAAGCCTCCAAGGAAATGAGGACCCCTGCCTGCCCTTCCTCCTGGCAGCGGTTGCCCCTCAAGCTGACACAGAGCCCCTGAGCACAGCGGGAAGCTCAGCCTCTCAGCCCCTCCTCCTTCCAGAGTCCTGTGTGTGGGCTCCCCAGGCAGCGCCCTGCTGAGCTTAGGGTCAGGGTCAGGGTCAGGCTGTCCAGATCCCCGGGCTGGGGTGGGTGGGGGCCTGGGCGCAGCACCTGCGCAGTGAGCGAGGAGGCCGAGGAGGAGAGGGGTCCAGGCCATGGCGGAGTTGCCTGCTTCTGGTCCTTGACCCCGAGCTGGGCAGGGCTCCTCCTGGGCCTCTCTTATCCCCTTGCTGGGGAGGCAGCTGCTGGGTATGCAAATCAGCAGGGGGTCAGGGGCTGCCTGAGGAGCTTGTGGTCCTGAGACTGGCTCAGCACTAGGGACACAGGGTAGGGAGGGTCAGTCCCAACAGACCTCACGCTCAGCCCCGGGATTCTTGGTTTCTTCTCTGGTGCCATAGCATGCGGCTGACATCTCCACCGCTGACTGTCCCACGCCCTCACTCCAG